ACAAAATTCAATTTAAAATAATCAAAACTCAAAGTAATTATCGATAATACCGAAATATCTTTAAAAAAATGAATTTCATATCCATTTAATGTAATTAGTTACTTTCTTTTTTATGTTTTTGTTAATATTTTTCACTTATAATTTTGTTATTCATTCTCGAATTTAAAAAAAAAAAAAAGAAAAAAACTTAAAAAAAATAAAAATGAAAAAAAATTTATAATTGTACTAAATTTTATTTGACAAACTTAAAGCTTATTTGGCCCTCAACTGCGCCGCAGACTGCAAATAGGTATCACTCAATTAGGAGCGAAACCCTCACTGCCTCTCTAGTTTATAACTGAAACGAAAAAGTATTGAATGAATTATTGAATTTTATGATGCTTGATTACTTTACTTAGAACAATCAGTTATTTTAGTGTAAAATTAAAAAATTGATTGGCTTAATATAACAAAAAAATTTAAAATCTACTATTTTAGTATACCATTAAAAATAAATAAATTTCAATTATAATAATCAATTACTTTTGATGAAATAATCAAATATTTTAAGTAAATTTATATTTAAACATATATTTTTATTATTGATTTTAATTTTATAATTAAAATATTCAATATCACTATTATAATACTCACTTTTATTACTAGGTTACATAATCTCACCGTCACGATATTTTCAATGTTATAATCCATTGAAAAGGACCATCTATTGTGGAAAGTTCTTTCCTCCCCGTTATTTAACCTACTATTTGACCCAGAAAATAAAAGCGCAGACCAGTAGCTGCTCTAACGTTCCAACGCTCAAAGTATATACGGGGATCATTTACTTCTAGTGCACAGGGAGACGGTAAAAATCTTTTGTTTTGTGCCACATTATACTTAATGAATGTGTATTTATATTATATAAAATATTAAAATTTATATATTTAAAATAAATTTTACATACAAATTATATATTATTATTCGTATTGATACAAAAATAAAAAATATAAATTTTTATTTTATTAAATTTATATATAATTATTATTAAAATTTTAAAATTGTATTATTTTTATGTTTTATTTTTATATAATATTTATATTATATTATCATATTATGTTTTAAATTAGAGTATTGTTAAATGTACTTCAATATTTTCGCTTCACATTTTAACTTTTTAAAAAATTTTTAAAAGTAAAATTATTTAAAATTTTTTTTACATAAATTTTTAAAAAATCATAAACCTTTTTTAATTCCAAAAGTCATATAACTTTCAAAAAATGAATTTATGAAAAATTATAAATTTTTTTAGAAATGAATTTATGGAAAGTTAAATTTTTGAAAAGTTTATGACTTTTCGAAAATTCATTTAAGAAAAAAGTTTATAACTTTTTTGAAAATTTATTTCTAAAAAATATATAATTTTTAGGAAATTTATTTTCAGAATATTTATAAAAAAAATAATTAAGTAATTTTACTTAAATTTTTTTTTTAAGAAAATTGGCATATAAAGAGAAAAAAATGATGATACATTCAAATCTAGCCAAAAAAACTACGCTTCTTTTTATCTTACGTTTTGCTCTTTTAACAATTATTTTTTTTCCTTCTAAATTCTCTAGTATATATGACAGGAATTGATAAGCCTAGTTTTCATATCTGACTACCATTTATAATTATGCATGAGCCTCAAATTTTCTTTTTATATATGTGAAGTACTTGATAATAAGGAAAAAAATTAATAAAATATAGCAAATATTGTTTTTTTTTTAAGTTAATAATTGGCACATTAATTATTTATATCTATATCTACACTATATATCTATTATCTATTACTGTTGATAAAACGAGGCTTGTAATTTGAAATAGTGATTTGAGGGTCTAAATGATATTTCTCTTTTTTAGTTAAAAATAAATAAAATAATGATAATTTAAAACATATAATAAAAAATCAATAAAATATAAAAGACCTAAGAAGAATGAGACAATAAAAAATATTTTATAAAATATCAAATTAATTCAACTCCAAAACCTTTTTAAGAAAATATTAAATGTTTGGTTTCAGAAAATATAATCATTTAATATTTTCATTTTCTTGAAAAGTAGAAAATATGAGTAAAAATGTTAATGGCATTTTTACTGACTAATTACTTTTCGTTTAATATGAGGTAACTTTCTCTAATTAGAAGTCAATAAGGCTTGATTGATATGTATTGGCTGTATTTAATTATTAAATAAGAAATGTATGTGTTTTTTTTAAGGAGGGGCAAGCGAGTGTGCTCTGGAGGTCAAGAATGGGTAGGCACATAGGCAGGCGTATGTGTTAAGATTTAGTTGGTTACAGGCTCTGGAGGTATTTCAAGTTGTCAAGGTCTCAGTTGGAAAGTGCATCTCATTCGAGTTCTCTGAAGGTCGGCGTACAGGTGAAGTGGTTCTTAAATTCTAGATCTGCCAACTTGGCTTCGTGATTTTAGCCGAAAGGTCTTGGTATGAGTGAGTTTATCTAGTTCTATGAGTGGTTAGAAGTAATTTATAGCTGTATAACCTACATCGATAATTGCTGTACTTTTTATTGATATATCATTTTAATTTTGAACTCAAATAAATATTAATTTAATAAAATATTTAAAATTTTTATAATATATATCAGGCGAAGACGGGTCCCATCACTAGTTGATGAATAAAAGTAAACAATATTTATAAGAAAAAAAAAAAACCTACTCCACTTTATAGGGATAAATAAATTTAGTCAAAGACTAAAAAATATGACTTTAGGATATTTGACTTATTAATGGCTATGATACGATTAGTAATGTCACGGTACAAAAGGATAAAATAGTAATGTCACGTGCCATGCGTGTTTCGCCTATGCATTGCAAACAGGACGGCAATCAAGTTCGTCTCCTATGGTTTCGGTTCGATCCGATCCTATAAGGTGAGGTTTTTTTTTTTTTTGAATTTCGGGTCAGGTAAATAGAGTGAGCATTCGGGGTCAGGTCGGATTCGGGTATGCTTAAAACTCGACCCGATATTATTAAAAAATTATTTTTTAATTAATTAATTAATTAATTATATATATTTATATAATGATATTTTTAAATATTTATATTTAAAAAATAATATTTTATATTTAAAAAATAATATTTTATATTTAAAAAATAATATTTTTATTAATTTCGAATCAAATCGAATCGGATACGATTTACATATTATCAGATCAGGTCAGGTTCAAGTATTAAAAAAATTTTGATCGATTTCGGGTTTAATAAAACATAAAATCGGGTCAGATTCGGGGCGAGCAAAACCCGCCCCAAACCTGACCCGATGCCATCCCTAATTGCAAAGTGCCAAAGGCAATTGCACTTATCGTTTTTTGCCATGACAAAATACGCACGTCAAGGAAACGTTTTATATTATTTTTAATATTATTATGATAATATAATTATTAAAAAAATTATTATCAAAATAATTTTAATATTTATTTAATTAACAATTATTAATTTATATAAATTAAAAATTATTATATTTGATATTATTAAAAATTAAAATTTATTTTATTTAAAATATACTATAATAATTATCTTTATTGTAACAATCAATAACGGATTTAAAATGAGGGCAACAGAGGCAACTCTCCCACTAAAATTCTAAAAACTAATTTTAATCATTATAAAGTTATCTAAATTTTTAATGATTTTTATATTTTACTTCCGTTAAAATATCAACAAAAATAATTTTAAATAAATCTAAAATCTTTTTTAAATTCATTAATTGTAAAAGAAATACTTAAGTATGATTTTTTTATTATATTGAAAGGTATAAAGATGTATTAAAAAATTGAATAAAGTAATGATTTACAATATAAATATAAAATTATTATACCAATATTATTAGTAATTAATATAATAAATTTGCCACCATTGAATATAAATTTAGATTTATCAATGATAATAATTATACAAATTAATGATTTAAATATTATTTAATGATAATAATTTATAAATTATACAGATTTATTAGATTTTATATCTTAAAGATGATTATATATTTATGCATTATATATCATCATTTGAAATAAATCACTTAAAGTTAAATATAATATTAATTAATAAATTTATAATTTATATATTATATTAAAGATTTATAAATATTAAGTACCGTAATAAATATTTTATTATAGTTCATAAATCACTTATAGCATTACTATTTAAAGTATTTATTATATTTATTTTTTTCATATCTCAAATTGTAAGTAAAAAAAAAAAGATTAATAGAAGATAAGTATACATTTATGGGGATTTTTTTTATTTTGGGCCGAAATATGTGTAGAGAGTTTAGTGTAGATTTTTCAATATATAAAATAAAGTGGTAAGTACAAATTTTTTTTTTATATAAAATAAAAATTAATGGTTGTGAGCTGTCATTATTTTAATTTTTTTTTGAAGAAAAAGTTTATAACATTTTTTTTTAATTAGGAATAAAAGTTTTGTAAACCAATATTGTAAGGACACTTACTAAAATGATAATAAAAATCCAAACAAAAAAAAAAGTGCCCTCTCAATATTCTTTTATATCATAATTAATGAACTCACTTCAATAAAAAAGAAAACGAATTCTATCAAATTCATAATTCAAAATAAAGAATTATTTTACATATCTAAATATATTTTAAGATAAACAGTACTTTATAAAATGGGTTTAATATTAATAATTTTTTCTCATTTAAATCTTCTAATATTGAAAAATAAAAATAACTTTAAATCCATGATCCATGACTTAAATTTATATATATGATTAAAAATAATTACTAAATATAATTTTAAGTTACATTAAAATTTCATGATAATTTTTATGAAATCGAGTTTGTAAAATTGAAAATTATCTTTAAAAAATTTATGAAAATTTTATAAAAAAATAAAAGTATGGGAACGTACCCCTTTATATTTTCATATTTTTTTGGGAAAAAATTATTATAAAAAAAAGAATTAAAAATTATCATCATCAACAGACGGGTTGTGGTTCAACTGAAAAGAAAAGGACAGTTGTTATTTTCACAATGAAAATAACTAAAATCTAATATAAAAAAAAAAAAGAAAAACAAATGAAAAAAAAAGCTAACAAACAAGCGAGAACGATCCAACAAAAAGCACAGACTTTTCACAGGAATACAAAAGAAAACGCGAAAGGGGAAACCGAAAATTAAAAAAAAAAGTTAATCGAAGAAAGTAAGGAGGTAGAATTCTTTCTTTTATAAAAATTTAAAACTTCGTTTTTTTTTTTTTTAAATTTATTCCTTTTCTTTTTGAAGAATTAAATCGTGTATATTTTATTTAATTTCATCACAGCCGTCAAATTTGCGAGGAAATTAAGTGTGGCGGTTAAGGGCTTTTGATTGCGATTCTTCTCTGCTCGGCAGTTTCATTGTAATTTTATTGTTATACAAGTAGAAATTTAACGTGCTAATTGAGTTTTAATCAATTAAACGAGCAATTCAGTTTTGTTGATGAGATTTTCGGTTGCTAGAAGATCCAATTGAACTTTTAATCCGATTAAATTGTTTTTTTTATCTGTCTTAAAAGAGAATTATATGATTAATATAATTTTTTAGGGTTTATCAGTATCAGTTTATTAATTTTTGAATTTTGTGGTTTATTTGATCGAGCAGTGAAGAGAAGTCGCCAGTATAACTGAAGAAGAAGAAAAAGACGAAGAAGAAGAGATTCAAATTTGGGGCTTTTGGATATTGGAATTCGAGGTGCTGGTATTCCAGGTAATCTTAATTTTCTTATTATTTTCTTCTGAAAATGTATGATTAATGTTATGCTTTTCATGTAATTGTAAATTAGTGGTCTAACATGTTAAGTTTATTTTTATTAGTAAAGTAAATTCCAATCTAAGTTTTCCCTACACTTTCGGATAACAGAATTTCTTTTCGTAAACATGTTAACTTTGTACTTTTTTTTTAAAGAATTTGTTTTGGTTTTGATATGGCCAGGGTATTGGGGGTTTTGAACTTTTGTGGTGTGGTTGTGATAGTTGCAAATGAATGAATCATGATGACTGGGATCAGGTGGAATAGTTGTCCATGGGCACCCCCCACAACAAACTATCTGACCTGGTTGACATAGTTAAGTCATGGATCCCTAGGAGGAGTGAGCCGCCAAATGTGTCAAGGGATTTTTGGATGCCCGATCATAGTTGTAGGGTATGCTACGAATGTGACTCCCAATTTACGGTATTTAATCGTAGGCATCATTGTCGACTTTGTGGCCGAGTTTTCCGTGCCAAGTGTACAACGAACTCTGTTCCTGCCCCATCCGGTGAGCCAAGGGCTGGTTGGGAAGATTGGGAAAGGATTAGGGTATGCAATTATTGCTTCAAGCAATGGGAGCAAGGGGATGGTACCTGTTAATAATGGGACCAAAGCACCTAGTCCTTGTCTCAGTCCATCACCATCTGCCGCGAGCCTGGCCAGTACGAAGTCTGGCGGCACCTGTAATAGTAGTAGCAGCACTGTTGCTTCTACTCCCTATTCAACTGGACCCTACCACCGTGTGAATTATAATTCTGGTCTTAGCCCTCCTGAATCTGCCCAGATGAATGCAGCTGCTGAACAAAACAATGAGACATCTAGGACAAGCACAAATCCAAAGTCAGCTGCAGTAGATTCTACTTCTAACCATTTTGGCTTTTGTGTTAACAGGTACCTTTCCCCTTGTTAATGTATTCTTGAGTGAGCACAAAGTGTTTTTACCTATCTAACTCCGGAATTTCACATGCCTTTACATTTTTTTTTTTTTTTGCAATTGTTGTTGAGAGGGGGTAAGGGATAGGGGTTTGAGCAATGTATCAGTCATAATTTAATTGTGTCTGGATTAGCCATTACTTCTTTGCTCAATGGTTTTGTATTACTTTGTAAATTCATGTCCAAATTACACAACCTATCTTGACTTGAATACATAATCTAGAGTTCTCATGCTTTTGTTTTATGATTTTCAACTACTGATCAATAATTATTACTTTCTTAACTGTTGGTTCCAGGAGTGATGATGAAGATGATGATTATGGTGCATATCGTTCAGATTCAGAATCAAGGCAGTATGCTCATTCTGAAGACTATTGTGGCGCTATCAACATTGATGGAATTGACCGTGTCTATGGATCAGATAAAGTCCATCCTGATGGTGAGAACATTGATGCAGAATCTTTGAGTGGTCCACCATTACCTGAGAATTTTGATACACAAAGTGTGGATGGAATCAAGAAATTTGAAAAGGTAAATGAGCAAGGGAATGTTGATGATGGTGAAGCTCCTGCTTATGATGTGTATGGTACAGATGCTGAGCCTGTGGATTTTGAGAACAATGGGCTTTTGTGGCTCCCTCCAGAGCCTGAGGATGAAGAGGATGAGAGAGAAGCTGCTCTATTTGATGATGAGGATGATTATGAGGGTGCTGCAGGGGAATGGGGATATTTACACTCTTCAAATAGCTTTGGCAGTGGGGAGTACCGTAGTAGGGATAAGTCAGGTGAGGAACACAGGCAGGCCATGAAAAATGTGGTAGAAGGGCATTTTAGAGCTTTGGTAGCTCAGCTTTTGCAGGTTGAAAACCTCCCTGTGGGTGATGAGGATTGTGGAGAGAGTTGGTTGGATATAATCACATCTTTGTCATGGGAAGCTGCAACGCTTCTGAAGCCAGATACAAGCAAGGGAGGAGGAATGGATCCTGGAGGATATGTGAAAGTTAAATGCATAGCTTCTGGGCGTCGCAATGAAAGGTAATATCACTGAACTCAATTTGAAAACTTATTAATTCTTCTGCTATGAGAATGCCATTTCACCTGTTTTTATTGAGCATCTTTAGATAATTCATAATTCTTAGCTTGTGGCAGCTGACAGACCAATCATACAAATGGCTTCTTGTTGTTGTTAGTAATCAATCTATTATTGATTTCAAAACATTTAACCGTGTTTCATGGCATGAGCATTCCACTCATTAGGTCTTGAAAATGTCTAGTTGTTGCATTGTTTGATTTACTTCCAGTTTGTATATAGCTTCCATGTCAAAGGTTGATAATTCCCGATATATCAAATGGTTCATATTCTTTTCCTCCTCATGTTGATGCGCATATATTATAATTCTTGAATTGATTGTGCATGAACATATGCTAAAGTTCTTTCTACAATCACATCCCTTCACATATCTGATCAGCTATCATTTGTGAATTTCCCTCATACTTGTAGCTTACTATTCACATATTTCAGTGATTCTTAATGTTCATCTGAGGCAACTGAGAGAAAATAATCTGAAGAGATTGTTTACTTCTTTTGGGTGGTAGTGGTATATATTTGTCTTAATAGGAAAGAAAGTACAATTAATAATTAATGCAAATGCTTTGTTTGGAAGGCTTTGTAGGTTCTGTAGTTCTTATTTCTATCTACTGTTTAATTATGCTGATAGGATTCTGGGTTTTTTTTTAATAATTTTTTTCTAGTGCTGTGGTTAAAGGAGTTGTTTGTAAGAAAAATGTGGCTCATCGACGAATGACATCAAAAATAGATAAACCTCGTTTTCTAATCCTTGGAGGCGCTTTGGAATATCAGCGCATTTCTAACCACTTGTCAAGCTTTGATACGTTGTTGCTGCAGGTTTGTAATTTTGACTGTTTCTTTCTGTTTTGGTTTGTTAATTAACCCTAGTTTCCTAGTAAGGGTTAAAGCGAGGAGACCTTCCTTGGATTCCCACTACGTGGAACATGCAGCAACTAAGTCTAATATGTTTTTTATGAGCCTACCCTCCTTTCAGGAAATGGACCATTTGAAGATGGCAGTTGCTAAAATTGATGCACATCATCCTAATGTTCTTTTGGTGGAGAAATCTGTGTCTGGGTATGCCCAAGATTACCTTCTTGCCAAAGACATATCGCTTGTTCTCAATATTAAGAGGCCACTCTTAGAGCGCATAGCCCGCTGCACTGGTGCTCAAATAGTTCCATCTATTGATCATCTAACATCACCGAAGCTTGGTTATTGTGATGTGTTCCATGTGGAGAAATTTCTTGAGGAGCATGAAAGTGCTGGGCAAGGTAGGAAGAAATTGACGAAGACTCTAATGTTTTTTGAGGGTTGCCCAAAGCCTCTGGGTTATACTGTAAGTCTTTTCATAATACATGACACACATATCCATGCGTTAGTATTTAGATACAAAATCTGTTTGTAATTTGAAAACCTTTCCAGTAAAAGTTGCTGATCATAATGACATTTAATTATCAAAACTTTTGTGTTAAAAGTAGAGCTTGTTATTATATGTTTTACTTAGGTTATATTTTATTTTTTTATGTTTTCCACAGTAATTGTAGGTGCATTAGTTTCACAAAAGTTAGAACACAGTCTTAAAGACACCATATACTCAGCAACATAAACAACTTTAGAGAAACTTAAAAATAGGTCTAACACAACCTTCTGCTAAACCTAAAATAGGTAAAAGACGAGGCTTTACGAAATTAATGAGCAATCATGGAAAACATAAACAACTTTAGAGGAACTAAAAAAAAAGGTCTAACACAACCATCTGCTAAACCTAATTTAGGTACAAGACGAGGCTTTCCGAAATTAATGAGCAATCATGGAAGTATACTCAACATTCATTCGCTATCTTTGACCTGAGTCCAGTATTTTAACCTTGTCTCTGCAATTCTTTTCATTAAATTGCAGAGAAATCAGTTTGCACTTTGTTGAACACTGTTCTTCCTTTACACCCATATTGAATATACAGCTATTGCCGTCCATGCTGCCAACTGATGCTGCTTTTTTGTAGAATACTTATCCAAATCTACCTGGAGTAACCACAATCAGAGAAAGGGCCAATGTGCTGAGTTTCATCTGAGCACAACTTGCATTTGTTCTTCACTATGATACTTTTATTCACTATGAACTCTTTAGTTTGCACTCTGCACTTAAAAGCAAGTAACAATGTTGGAGGATAACATGCTTTTCCTCTAAAAATTTTCTATCATGAAACACCTTTTTTTCTTATTTTAAGCATCCTCAGGTTCTTCTGAAGTATCAGTTCCCTTTATTAACAGGTGACGATCAACTTCCTCTGTTAATATGAATAAGGGAAACTCTGGCCATATCCTGTATCTTTTGGATGGTCCTATAACTTGCAGGTGGAAGAACCCATCTGTTATTTCTCCATAAATCTGACATCTTAGCATGCCTTTTAATATTCACCTCCTCCAAACCATCTGCAACTACATCAATTAGGGCATCGTGTGGAGCAATAGCCCACTTAGGTACTTTTTGTCATGCATAATTTCTGGATTAACTTTGAAATATAATGTAGCATAAACTATTGTGGTTGTTTGCAATCAGTTTGGTTCCCAACTGTTAGGATAGTAAAAAGCATAGAGTGACTGAATAAAGCTCTGGTGGGTCGTGCCATGCCACTTGTATACCTACAAAGTACATTTGTTATTTTGTAACCTCTTTTGCAAGATAAAAATGTTTAGTGCTAAGATGGGTCCAATGCTTACTTTGTTTCAGATTTTACTCAAGGGTGCCAATGGAGATGAGTTGAAAAAGGTGAAACATGTGGTCCAATATGGAGTTTTTGCAGCTTATCACCTGGCTCTTGAGACATCATTTCTAGCTGATGAAGGTGCTACGCTCCCAGAGCTCCCTCTAAAGTCTCCTATAACTGTTGCCTTACCTGATAAACCATCAAGTATTGACAGGTCTATTTCCATCATACCTGGTTTTTCCATCCCATCCTCTGGGAAGCCCATGGTTTCTCAACCTATAAACGAATTGCAGAAATCCAACAAAGTTGTTATCTCAGATAGACCACCATCTGCCAATAGTGAGCCCCCTTGCAAATCTACAGGGGCCTGTTTATCTTCCTTGTCAAAAGATCACACTCAGACTTTGTTCAAGGAATCTGCTTCAGACTCTGTTGATGCTGTTGCTTCCTTCAATTCACTTTCTGCTTCGAGGGAGGATATCTCTTCTTATAACAATGTTCCCTCCTTAAATCATGCATTTAGCAAGGTTGATGGAGTGGATCCTAAAGAATCTGTTCAGACCAAAACAAGTAGCAGTGGAGAAGCTGTAATAGATGACCGGTTCATTTCTCTTTGTCAAAGATTAACAGAAGGACCGGAGCAAGGTGGTGGCAATATGTTGACTGCAATTAATCTTGGTGGCCCAGAGCTGGCATCCTCAAAACAAGAGACTTGTAACAATGAAGAGGTGGGTTCCTCGAAGGAAGAGTTTCCTCCATCACCTTCAGACCACCAGAGCATTTTGGTATCATTATCAACACGTTGTGTGTGGAAGGGCACTGTGTGTGAATGGTCCCATCTCTTTCGAATCAAATACTATGGGAGCTTTGATAAGCCCTTGGGCCGGTTTTTACAAGATCATCTGTTTGATCAGGTAATTGTTATTGTTGTTATTTCATGTAGAAAACTTATCCTACCTATGCTTCTCATGACTACAACTTAAGATTCTTCTTATCAGAGCTTCTGTTGTCATTCATGTGAGATGCCATCTGAGGCACATGTTCATTGTTATACTCATCGGCAAGGTAGCCTGACGATATCTGTTAAGAAACTACAAGAGCATCCCTTACCAGGAGAGCGGGAAGGCAAGATTTGGATGTGGCATAGGTGCTTGCAATGCCCTCGGACCAATGGATTCCCTCCAGCCACTCGAAGAGTTGTAATGTCTGATGCTGCTTGGGGTTTATCCTTTGGGAAATTTTTGGAGCTGAGCTTTTCTAACCATGCAGCTGCTAGCAGAGTTGCATGCTGCGGTCATTCCCTTCACAGAGATTGTCTTCGATTCTATGGGTAAGTTTTTACTTAAGAAATATGAAGTATTAAGTATATTAAAGGATAAACTGTTTTGAAAGGAGTGATCACTTGCAGAGATGGCTCTTCTGGAAGAGTGGTCTGCCTATTCTGTTTAGTCTATGTTATTCTCTGTAGTCTATAAGCAATCAATTTGCTTTCCCTGTAAGTCATTGATTTAATATTATGTGCCATTTTGGTGTTTTTTGGGTGAGATAATGAGTATCAGCATTCATCCTTCCATAGATTGTATCTGTTAGATAGTACTGATTTATGAGTTGCCTAGGTCTTCAATGCAAATACTTGCACCAGTACGGTGATACAATTGATATTACACATATGAATGTTGCCTGGGTATACTGCATGCAGAAATATGAGACTGACTTAACTTGCTTTGTTAATTTTTGGATTAACCGTGTATTTCTAATGCTCATGGTCAAAAAGCATGAGCTACATTGTTTAACCAAAGAGGAATATGGCTGATTTATTTGATCCTCTTGTGGTTTATGTTTACTTACTGAGTGTAAAAATCCCTAGGCCTAGCACAACACTAGTCACCCAACTCCACATGTATGCTTGTCTATACGCATACACATGCGCATTAGTTGTGTTTGTTAATTTTGCAAAAGGGAAAATACATTGAACTTATTTCCCCAAAAAAATCCATTTGACTTTTGAATTTGGCTGTTGTGCTCCGTTTGGGAGTTTGGGACATAGATGGTTTAAGTTTGCTTCTGAAATAAATTACTCATCAGTGGATACATCCAGGTAGCCTAGCTACATTCCTGTGCCCTTATTAGTTCTCGAGTCTCCTTGTTGCTATTCTTACATAGTATAGTTTACTGGCCTAAAAGAACAGGAAAACAAGATTATTGCTTAGTTGAGCAACTGAGGAAGGTCAAGGGCATATAACTTTGTAATGAGGTTTCCATGTTTAGGAACCACCAGAGGAAGCCTTGCCACAGTAAGTGCCTAATTGCCTTAACTCCTAGGATGCACTCCCCAAGCCAGCTACTCCCTTCTGGATAAGGAGGGTTATTGGCCATGAAGGAGATGGAAAGGATAGGCTTAATTAATGGTATGGAATATGGATTGCGAAAAAAAAAAAATGCAAAAGGTGTTTACAAACTATCAAATGAAGCATATTGGTTGGCTGTTGGTATCCTCTGATTGTACTGTTTTACCATTGCAGTTTTGGGAGAACAGTTGCTTGTTTTCGATATGCTTCCATTGATGTTAATTCTGTTTGTCTTCCACCTCCAAAACTGGAATTTAGTTATGATAATCAGGAGTGGATACAAAGTGAAGCAAATGAGGTTTGAATATCATAAATCCTTGTTCTAGTTCATAAAGCTATTCTTGAATCAGATAACACCTACAAGGTCATTTATTGTTTTGCAGGTACGTAACAGGGCAGAATTCCTTTTTAGTGAAATACATAATGCTCTTCAAAAGATTTCAGAGAAATTATTAGGTTCACGGTCCCAAGATGGTGGCATAAAGGCACCTGAAAGAAGAATGTGTATCGAAGAACTGGAAGCAATGCTGCAAAAGGATAGAGAAGAATTTCAGGTAGCTGGTTTGAAATTCATAATCTGCATCCTCCCCTCATTCCTTATGAGTGACAAATGCTGTCTGGTTGTCTTCATTAGTAACCAATCTGTCCAGCATTTTAACCCAGTGATAAATCTGTTTCTCTTTTATGCATAAAATTGGCCTGATATGCTGTCTGGTTTCTAATCTGTTTACTCTTTCCTTAGGAATCTTTACAGGAAGCACTTTTTAAGAAGGTGAAAGTTGATCAACCTGTTATTGACATTCTTGAGATCAATAAATTAAAGAGGCAAATACTCTTTCTTTCTTATGTTTGGGACCAACGGCTGATACCTGCATATAGTTCAATTAACAATAATATCCAGGAGGTTGTGAGCAGTTCCATCTCAAAGCTTCAATTGAAGCCTGTGAGCTCCATGGAGAAGCTTGTTGAGATGAATGTCAGTCCCAAGCCAAGTAAAGCCTTTAGTAGTTGTGACTTGTCCCTAGTTGAGACCAAGCCTGATATAAACATAAATCAAGGAGGCAATACTGGTGAAATTAGCAAGCTAGGCGGAGATTACAAAGAAAAGTGCATGGACCAGGACTTAAATAACTGGAAGGAGACTGAACCTTCTCTTCCTTCTAGTGCAAATACCAGTGAGAAAGCTGGTTCTCTGGAATCTGGAAAAGTTTTACGAAAGGCTCTGTCAGAAGGGGAATTTCCAATTATGACAAGTTTATCTGACACCCTTGAGGTAGCATGGACTGGCGAAAGTCACCCAGCTAGTATAGCTCCTAAGGAGAATGGTTACACTGTTCCTGATTTGGTTGTGACAGATCCGTCAACTGCAGTAAATTTGGATCTGGGAAATTGTACTACTGGTTGTGATGAAATAGAAGTGGCTCGTTTTCCTCAGTCTGTTTTGCCTACTAAGGAACCTGAAAGTATGGAGAAGTCTATCAGCTGGGCAAGCATGCCATTTCTAAATTTCTACAGTTCATTTAACAAGAATTCCTCATTCAATGCTCAAAAGCTCAGTATCAGCGAGTATAATCCAGTCTATGTCTCATCATTTAGGGAGTTGGAAAGACAAAGCGGTGCCAGGCTGCTGCTTCCCATTGGTGTTAACGACACTGTAGTGCCTGTTTATGATGATGAGCCCACTAGTATTATAGCATATGCACTTGTCTCATCAGACTATCATTCACAGATGTCTGAGTTGGAGAGACCAAAAGATGCTGCAGATTCTGCAGTTTCATCGTCACTTTTTGATTCAGTGAATCTGCTCTTACTTAATTCTTTTAGTGACTCATCATCTGATATTTACAGAAGTTTTGGATCTGGTGACGATAGTATCTTGTCTTTGCCAGGGTCACATAGCTCCCTGGCTTCTGACCCTCTCTTGTACACAAAGGATTTGCATGCCAGAGTTTCTTTTACAGATGATGGACCCCTTGGGAAGGTGAAGTATTCCATAACCTGTTATTATGCAAAGAGGTTTGAGAGCTTGAGGAGGACTTGCTGCCCTTCTGAGCTGGATTTTATACGGTCTCTAAGTCGTTGTAAGAAGTGGGGTGCACAAGGTGGAAAGAGCAATGTCTTCTTTGCAAAAACTTTAGATGATCGATTTATCATTAAACAAGTTACAAAGACAGAACTAGTATCATTCATCAAGTTTGGACCAGCTTATTTCGAGTATTTGTCTGATTCAATCAATAAAAGAAGCCCAACTTGCCTGGCAAAGATTTTGGGTATATATCAGGTATTATTTGTTACCCATGTAATTGTATAGGTTAAATTGCTAGCCTGTATGAAGAGTAGTTGAATTTCATGAGTGAAGTTTTGGCTAATAATTCCAGGCAAAATTTTCATTTTTAGTTGCCCACAGCATTGGTTATCTATTGCTTTTCCTGTCTTGTAAACTTCACTTTCCAATTCATTTTTGAAACACTCTTTGGTTATCTGGCAATTCTTCCTTTTTTCATTCTGCTTCAGAATGTGATGGCTTAGGAATATGTGTTTGTGTGTGTGCATTTCCTCACTGATTTAAAATGAGCCTCAACTTTGGTTTAGATTTTTGTTCAAATATGCTGTGTTAACACTTGACATTCTGATGTTATAAAGCCCGAGAAATGAGCAGCCTAAGTGCAACTTGCTGTGGAAAATTTTCAAGTTTTATCTGCTTCATTATGTTTAATTTATAATGAATCCAAGTTTCAAACCTAAATTGGGCTTTTCTTATTTTGTGATAAATTTACCATGATTTTTTTTTTTTCATTGTCTTGAAGGTTTCATCAAAGCACCTTAAAAGAGGGAAGGAGTTAAAAATGGATGTTTTGGTGATGGAAAATCTTCTCTTCAGGCGTAATGTTACAAGGCTTTATGACCTTAAAGGATCTTCTCGATCAAGGTATAATCCTGATACAAGTGGCAGCAACAAAGTTCTCCTGGATCAGAATTTGATTGAAGCAAAGCTGACTTCTCCAATTTTTGTTGGAAGCAAGGCGAAGCGGTTGTTAGAGAGGGCTGTCTGGAATGACACTTCCTTTCTTGCTGTAAGTTGCAATTTGACTTCCCATTTTGATGTCACGGGGCTGCACATGCTATTTTGAAGATTTGCCTTTTATTTTTTAATTTTTAATTCTTTTTATAAGCCTCTGTTTCTGGTGGTGCGGCATATATTTTGGTAATGTAGGATTGGGTTTTTCCCACAGCATTATGTTTACTATTACGCATATGAGTTGAATGGCTATTTATTTGGCTTTATATTTTTTTCTTAATAATTATGTACATTTTGCCACAGTTAATTGATGTAATGGACTACTCATTACTGGTTGGTGTGGATGAGGAAAAACATGAGCTTGTTGTTGGAGTAATTGATTTTATGAGGCAATACACATGGGACAAGCACCTTGAAACTTTGGTGAAGGCCTCACGCATACTTGGGGGTACTAAAAACGAGTCTCCAACTGTGATCTCGGCCCAACAGTACAAGAAACGATTCAGAAAAGCTATGACTGCTTATTTTCTCATGGTGCCAGATCAGTGGTCTTCTCCAACAATTGTTCCTAGTGGGTTACAGACTGACCTTTGTGAAGAAAATACACAAGTTGATAATTCTGTTGAATAACAATGTGAATCCTTTTGTGAAGTAAATACCCATTCTCTCTCTTTCTTCCCTTATTTTTAAATTCATTTTTGCCTATCCTTTTTCTTCTACCAATTGTAATTTTTTAAATGGCTGCCACATTGTATCATCATCAATATATGCATCAGTTGAATTTTTTTTTTCGTTATAAGCAGGAAAAAGCTCTTTTAAATGCCATAAAAATGATCATCGTTGGCCGTGTCCTGTGTGTTTTTTGTGTAAGTGTGTAATTTCTATTTGTCTCCCTTTCTCATAAATTTTTTCATCGGCATCTAGCTGAACTGAAGCCATCATCGAACCATGACTAAGAGGCTCATGCTTTAGCTTTAAGCACCTGGGTTGTTATTAGCCTAAAAAAACAACCTGGGTGGTTGGCTGCGTGGTGGGTTTTTAATTTGCTCAGGGAGGCATATCAAAATCAATCGTAGCTTTGTCTTTTGGGCCGCAAGCCACACAATTATGGACTTCATTCACCAAAGTTGCTTTAGCCGAATGCCCAATTGCTACCACGTCCATTGATCAAATTCTATAAGATATTTTTTAGCCACAAAAGGGTGTATAATTTATCACTTAATAAGTTTTTTTTTTTAATTTTCTAATATGAACTTCTATCTTATATTTATCTTATTGAAAAAAATATTATGCTCATAAATTTTTTTCAACTTATGACCTCCAAATATTAGCATTAACATCATGTCAACTCATATAAACATCAGATTGTATAATACAATAAGTTGCACCAATATTTATACACTAGCAAAGCAACGAACTAAGCATTTACGAATTGCCGCTGATAATTCGTTTGCAAAAAGTAAGACTAAGAGGGTCCTCCCTAATTTTTTTCTAGTAAATCATTCCTTCTCTACTTCGTTTGGGCTAGCCGCAACCAAGCAAAAGGCCCATTGCCCCTTTCAATGTACAGAACCCAACAAGCTCCGAACTTGCCGGACAAGTCTCCACTCCACAGTCTTTTGTTTCGCCCTTTTAACTCCTTTCAAAAAATTTTCCTTTCCCTCCACAATCATTCTTTTTCCTTTCTCTTCCTTCCATTTCCTTTCCCTGTTAGCCTTCTCTTTCTCCAGGCTTTGGGCTCTAATAGATCCTTGCGTTGTATAGTCAGCGATAAAATGGAGCAACAGAGAAAGCAGAAGATGGTTCAACAACAACAAGACGAGGAGCTTGAGGAGATGCAGCATGGCCCGTTCCCTGTAGAGCAACTTCAGGTGAAAACAAATCATATTCAAGATTTTGTTCCTTTGTTCAATTTTATTAGAAATTAAGACGATTTCTATGTGGTTTTTTTCCCAATTTTCCGAAAAGGTGTTCCTTTTCTTGATTTGTCCAGATTTTCAAAAGAAATGACTGTACATTCTTTTGAATATCCTGAAAATCGAAAATGGATTTTCTCACTTTAACTGCTTTTGTCTTTTCAGCATGGGTTCTTTTCAAAATCGTGTTTTTTCCCCATTTTTACCTATATTAGAAGAGATCAGAAATGAATCTAAATAGGTTATATTCTCTAGATCGCCCGTTAGGTGGGGTAGTTTTCCTGTTAGGGTTTCTTGACAAGTTTGGCTTTTGTTTGTTTTTCTTGAAATCCTCTTACATGTTGTGGCTTTAATAAAAGTTATAGATATTATTCTTATTTTTATCTTCATTTAAAGGCATCGGGCATTGCGTCCCTGGACGTAAAGAAGCTTAAGGATGCAGGTCTTTGCACGGTTGAATCTGTTGCTTACACCCCAAGGAAAGATCTTCTTCAGATCAAAGGAATCAGTGAAGCTAAAGTTGACAAGATTGTGGAAGCAGGTATACTGTTTCCACACTTTTGTTCTATTCAATTTTTGTTGATGACATTACTATAATTTGTAAAATGATTTGAAATTAATATGTTCAATTCTTCCATGGTTCTTGACAGCTTCCAAACTGGTCCCATTGGGTTTCACCAGTGCTAGCCAGCTCCATGCTCAGCGGCTGGAGATAATTCAGATAACATCTGGGTCAAGTGAACTTGATAAAATTTTGGAAGGTACATATGCTCTGATGTTTGTGAAGTTTTGTTTGACTTTGATTCTAAACACTTCTCGAAATTGACTACTTGTTCAACTGGTTAAGAACTGTAAATTAATGTTTGTTCTAGTTAATTAATTTTCTGTATGATTACATGCTCACTTGGTTTTCTATATGACAGGTGGTATTGAGACAGGATCCATTACCGAGATATATGGTGAGTTCCGTTCTGGAAAGACTCAGCTTTGTCACACATTGTGTGTCACATGCCAAGTAAGAGCTTTTCTTTTTCATTTTCCTGGCAGCTATGGCTGTGTTCTGCATTTGAATTTTACTGCCATACATGATATTTCAGTATTTGTAATGACATGTGACCAAATGAAACAAGAATTTGAATTTATTCAGATGAGTAAACTGAATACCCATATGCCCTACGATTGTAGCTCATGTATATTGCACATACTATGTGTTTTACTGGCTAACATCAGCTTGCTTGCCAGAGCCCCTAACAGTTTATATTATTGCAAATTTGCAATAATCTGTCTGTTAGTGTTATTCAGAAAGTCAATTTTGCAAGGCATGCTTCTAATTTTCTTTGATATTTCAGCTTCCATTAGATCAAGGTGGCGGTGAGGGAAAAGCAATGTACATAGATGCTGAAGGCACATTCAGACCACAAAGACTCTTACAAATAGCGGAGAGGTGATTACATGGCTACCTTGATATGGCCATGCTACTTTGCTGTATGCAGTATTGATAGTAAAACAGTTGAATGCTGCAGGTTTGGACTGAATGGTGCTGATGTCTTGGAGAATGTGGCCTATGCTAGAGCATATAACACTGACCATCAGTCGAGGCTTTTGCTTGAAGCAGCTTCAATGATGGTGGAAACAAGGTGTTATGAAAACATTTCCTTTGCTTGACATTGTTCACATTAATCCGTATCAAGAGGAATTTATCTCTAGTATACATGTGCTAAACTAGCTGTTGACCGGATTGATCATTTGATGGATTTTTCTGCAGGTTTGCACTTATGATAGTAGATAGTGCTACTGCTCTCTACAGAACAGATTTTACTGGTAGGGGTGAACTTTCTGCCCGACAAATGCATCTTGCAAAATTCCTCAGGAGCCTTCAGAAGTTGGCAGATGAGGTAAGGCTTTTACATCTTCGTTTGTAGTAGTGTAGTTAATGAATTGCTTTCATGCTATGGTTACTGCTATCAGTCTAATGTCTATCATGTATTTGAAACGTTTTGGTTTGAGATACCCCAGGTATGGAATTGGGCCCTTTGTATCACTAATATTTATCAATTTTTTTCCTTGCATTGTCTGTGATTGCAGTTTGGTGTCGCTGTCGTAATTACAAACCAAGTAGTTGCCCAAGTGGATGGTTCAGCAATCTTTGCTGGACCTCAAATTAAGCCTATTGGCGGTAACATCATGGCTCATGCTTCCACAACAAGGTTTGTTACAGAAGGCTGAATTTTCCCCTTTCCTTGCTACTTTTTTTTTTTTAAATTTAATAAGCTCTCACTGATAATAATAGACTGGCTCTCCGAAAGGGAAGAGGGGAGGAGCGCATTTGTAAAGTAATAAGTTCTCCTTGCTTGGCTGAGGCTGAAGCTCGATTTCAGATTTCTCCAGGAGGTGTTGCTGATGTCAAGGACTGACCTGTTTCTGCTCATTGTTTCCCAAACAAAACCCGATCAAGCTCCTTTTATTGATCAATATGTTTCTGTAGCTGACTGCTTCTGCGGCTACCACAAATCTGTAATTTTTTTGTCTGCAATGAAGCTTGCCAAATTTCTTGTTCTCCATTTTGCAAGGATTAAATTTCTTTTAATGGAGAACCAAAACAAGTTATTTATGTTTGAGCTCTTGCTCCTATCAGTAGTGTCCTTAAAATTTGAAAAAAAAAAAAACCATTTACAACAATAAAATTCCTTATTAGATTAAAAAAAAAGGAAAAAATGCCTTTAAAATATATCTTTTTTAATGTTTCGGTAATAAATTACAGTAATTTTAAAAATTTTTTACGTGTGTGAAGGACGCATTTTTTAACGAAATAAAGATTTTATTAAGACAGGACATACGAATTACGATAAATCTCGGAAAAAGGAAAAAAAAAATCACCGTGACTGAAAACAACAACGTTAAAATGGAATGGGGTAAAAAACACTGCGTCTCGAAAGGTCGTCTGCTTGACCGCTTCGCCACAACACATCGGCTTTAAAAATGCGTTAGATTCAATTACCGGCGTCGTTTAACGAGCAATTTAGCTAAGGTCCGTCTGGTACATCAGAACCAGACCCCCTCCGCCCCAAATAAAAAAGAAAAAGATAGAATGGCAATGAATCCGGCGGCAACACCTCCGAACCTCCCCAAATCTGGAGCCATCTCCAAAGGCTACAACTTTACTTCTACTTGGGAGCAGGTTTCTTTCTTTTTTTTCTTTTCCTTCTAAACTTACTCTTTGAACACAAAAAATGTTTGCCTTCAACTTCACGATTTGAACCTCATCTAGTTTAGATCTGCCATATTATTTTATCTCAGTGAACGTCAAAATTTAAACTTGTAACTATGTTATTCGACTAACTTATTTGTCTTGATTTCGTTCTCACTTTCTCATTTCACCTTAAATTTTCAAAAGATCCGATCTCTTCACGGAAACCGTAATAGTAACCGAAATGTGATTATTATATTAATAATAATCTGAAGAGTTGAAAACCTTTTAGTTTGAAGATCGGATCTGTGGAGTAGAACTGGAAGCGCTATTTTAGATTTTTTATGTTTAATTTAATTTCTTTGTTATTTTGGCATTTTGTTTGCGTAGAATGCGCCTTTGACGGAGCAGCAGCAAGGAGCAATACTGATGCTATCTCATGCAGTTGCGGAACGGCCGTTTCCGGCGAATTTGGTGAGGAATTCTATTGCTTGTTGGTAACTTTTTTTTTTAAATGGCATTCTTAATGTTTTAGTAAAAAATGTATGGATTATGCTGTTTTAGGCTCAAGAGCAAACCTCCGGGCAAGATAATGGCTTGTCTGTTTCTACAAAGGATAACAATTTCGGTGATTCTGAAGCTATTGAAGCAATTTTAGTTAATACAAATCAGGTATATTAGTTTTATTGTATTTCTTGTGTGAATTGGAGATCTAAACTTTTGTGGATGGCTACATTGTTTTGTTCTTTGAATGATCTAGTTCTACTAGGGTTTTGTTACATCCATGAAAATTGAATCTAAAGCATTTGCTTCTTTTTTCTTGTTTCTGCTCTTTTTGTACAGTTTTATAAATGGTTCACAGATCTTGAATTGGCCATGAGGTCAGAGGTTTGTAGCAATTTCTTGTTGCAACATATATGATCATGAGTAATTTTATTGGATATTTGTTTATTGCATCTCATTGTTTCTCTTTCTTTAGACAGAGGAGAAGTATCAGCACTATGTCAATACTCTAACAGACCGCATACAGACTTGTGATGATATACTTCGACAAGTATGTTCATCTTGTGTTTTATATCTCCATGCATTATCAGTTGTGTTGCTAGCTATTTATTATGTTATATATATTTTCCTCAAGATTTTAAAGCTATCTAATGCTTCTGTGCAGGTGGATGAAACCTTGGACCTATTTAATGAACTACAACTGCAACACCAAGCAGTAGCAACAAAAACTAAAACTCTTCATGATGCATGTGATCGATTGGTATGATTTTGTTTGTATGACTTGGAATTTAGTTTCATCTTCTTGTTTCTAGCTTATTGACTTCGGCTTTATGTTTAGTCGGTGTAATCCACTTCTTTTTGAGATGGAAAATTTGGTTTAAGTTGATTTATTGATTGCCTCACTAGCTTGTTTTCATTGCAGGTTATAGAGAAGCAAAGGCTGATTGAGTTTGCTGAAGCACTTCGCAGTAAGCTCAAGTATTTTGATGAGTTGGAGAATGTAAGGTTTGAATGCTATCTTAACTAGAGATCAGTTTACTTTATACGTTACTTCCTTGTCTTTGCTTATTAGCCTATTATAGGGTTTTTGTTTAATTTTAAGTGTCTTGACGAAATTCTGTTGGTGCAATAGTTTTGAAATTCATGGTTTGTCTAATTTTTCCTCTTGTATACAGATTACTTCGAACTTTTATTCTCCAAACATGAATGTTGGAAACGTGAACTTTCTTCCACTTCTTAAACGGGTTGATGAGTGCATAATGTAAGTTTGCATATGAACTTAGTCCAACTGTGCAAACTGGTTAACAATTGTGTAATAATTGTCCTTCTGGTGAGCATATGTAATTAAAATTTTTTATCATAATTGAAGATTTGTCCTTGTAGGTATGTTGAAAATAATCCACAATATGCAGAATCCAGTGTTTATTTGCTAAAATTCCATCAACTCCAGGTAAGGAAGTGATGGTAACAATTTATGGACTGCTTTGTAAAGTGAATGAAATGCATTCATGATGAATAGATGTTTTGACTAAAACTCCAGAAACATGTTTTTACAGTCTCGGGCCCTAGGTATGATCCGCTCTCATGTGCTTTCTGTTATCAAAAGTGCTTCTTCTCAGGTAAAATATCCACCTTTAGATGAAATTTATGTACATAGGTACGCATATATAGATGGATTGAATGCCTCCCAATGCTTGTTTTTTCCCGCTTTAGGTCCAGGCTGCACTTCGGAGCAGTGGTGGCAACAAAGCATCTCTTTCTGAGGGTGTTGAGGCATCTGTAATTTATGTTCGTTTCAAGGCAGCTGCTAGTGAGGTAATGATTTCCTTTTTTTGCTCTGAAAGCTGTCACATGTATACATATCTGAATTTTTGCCCAACTTAATAGCAAGTAGAGTTATATCTCTTCTCTTGTATATGAAATGGGATTGTATACTACAATTAGATTCCCCCTCAGCTGAGGTAACTAATAGTTTTAAGCATTTGCAGCTTAAGCCAGTATTAGAGGAAATTGAAAGCAGAGCATCAAGGAAAGAATATGTTCATATTCTTTCAGAATGCCATAAATTGTACTGTGAACAGAGGCTTTCTTTGGTGCGTGGATGATGTGTTACACTCTCACATACATGCACCATTTATTTCAATATTCAAATCGGTTCTTAATGTATCTGTTAATATGTGCTTTTTTAGATAAAAGGCATAGTGCATCAGCGAATATCTGAATTTGCCAAGAAAGAGGGTTTGCCAGCATTGACTCGATCAGGATGTGCTTACTTAATGCAGGTATAGTAAACTTACCGTCCTCATGTTTAGTAGCTGAATATGATTATGATTCTTGGAACTTCTGATTAAGTGAAGCAAAACTTGTTATTTGGGTTTTGCACTTTTTGCCTTTTTTTATTTTGCTTGGTAACATTTAGAGATGATAAAATCTATGCCAACTGTTTAGTTTCTATATGGATTGGTGTTTTTAAATTGAAGAAACATATACTGTCTTTATTAACTGCATCCTACACATTCCCATAACTGCAGGTCTGTCAACTTGAACATCAACTCTTTGAACATTTTTTCCCATCTTCTTCAGAGGATGTTTCAAGTTTGGCACCATTAATAGATCCTTTGTAAGTACTCTTGTAACCCAATGTTGTAGAGCTTCATTATCTCTGTTCCTATTTTTATTGTTTCCTTACTAGGTGGCTTAATTTTGCTTTATGGACATTAATCAAAATAATATCCCAGAGTTTGACTTAATTATAAATGTTTTGTGTTTGTTACTAAGTTGGATTTTGTTGCAGGTCTACTTACTTGTATGACACATTGCGGCCAAAACTGATTCATGAAACAGATGTTGATTTCCTTTGTGAACTGGTTGATATCCTCAAAGTTGAAGTCTTGGGAGAACAGCTCAGTAGAAGGAGTGAGTCATTGGCTGGGTTATGCCCTACACTAGAAAGAATTTTGGCAGACATTCATGAACGCTTGACTTTTCGTGCTCGAACACATATCCGTGATGAGGTTTGTTATTGCTTATATGTGCATGCATGTATATGCATTTGACTTCATTCTGTGGTGTTGGAAGAACAAATTGTTTTACTTGCCCATCGTTTGAGATTGGAAAAGAAATTACAGTTGCATTTCGTGTTTACAATGTTGGGAGCAATTGTATTGTGCTTTTCAATTGGACTGTGCATGGCTGGGTTAGTGCCACAGATCCCAACACTGAACCTAATGTTGTCCTGTTGCTTTTGATTTTACTTGAATCATTGTCTTCTTTCTTACACAGATTGCGAATTATATCCCATTTGATGAAGACTTGGATTACCCTGCTAAACTGGAGCATTCTGCAGATGTGAAGTCAGAAACTGCTTCTGTAAATTCTCAAGTCTTAACACTTTTTCTCTTCTCCCAGCTTATAGATAATTGATCATTTGTAGCGGATCTTCATATTTGGACAATTTCAAATTGTGAAGCTACTTTCCTGCAAGTCAAAGTTATTGTTTCTAAGTCAGACCCTTATATAAATGCTCTTTATAATCATCATTATCGGACCTAACTTGATTTCTACAATTTGTGTTGAGTTATTCTCCCCCTCTTCTGCTTGGACTCAAGTGTTGCATTATATGTTTGTGTGTATTTAGACAATTTGTTGGATTATTGAACACCCTAGCAATTGTACATGGGGTTGCTGCTTCATTGTTTAAATTCCTTGATTGAGATTAAGCATGCAAGATATACATGCGTGGCATGAGTACTTTTCCTATAAAGAAAATTTTGTGCAACATAAAGGGGAAAAATTAGCATATTGGGTTTCTCATGCTGAACGGGAATGGAATTGTCATCCTGTTGTATTAGATGTGCATCTGTTGAGTGTGGGTTGTCCCAGTTGGTTAGCAAACAACATGCATATCCAAAACTTACTTGCAGACTTGTTACGATCAGCACTTAATGAGGTATCACAGCTGCTTTAACATGTCTGGATATTGATGTTGGCCTGATTAGTAGCACTAGCACTTTAATTGTGTCTGCTAGAATCTCACCTTCTGTTTTCCCTTTTTGAAATATAATTATGCCATAATTAACGCTATTATCTGCATTAATTTTTTGTTTTGGTCTGCAGACTGATGCAAACCCAGATGTATTCAAAACTTGGTATCCACCATTGGAGAAAACCATATCTATTCTTTCAAAATTATATCGTTGTTTGGAACCAGAAGTCTTCACTGGCTTGGCACAGGTGCTTTGAATCTTTGGATAATCACCCTTGTTTAGTTTCTTGTCTACTGAATTTCTGAAAGTAGATGCCCTTCTTTGCTTATTCTGTTACAGGATTAATTTGTGCTGTTTTTCTCAGGAAGTTGTGGAAGTTTGTTCTGTCTCGATTCAAGTAAGTTAGCTGAACAAACATTTAATCAAACTGTTCCAGGCCTTAAGTTCTTTGCTTTTACAAGAATGTTCATGCTTTTACAAGAATGTTCATGCTATATACTTATACCATTTCTATGTTCGGATTAGTTTTTATCCCTTCTATGAAGAAGTTGACAGGCTTATTTGCTCTGGAGCATGTTCTCAAACATGCTGTGGGCTTGGTTGGATTTCTAACCATTTGCATTTGTCCTTCTTTTTAATCACTCAATTGTGTATAGAAAGCAAGCAAACTAATTGCAAAGAGATCCACACCAATGGATGGGCAGCTCTTCCTTATAAAGCATCTTCTGATATTAAGAGAACAGGTTATCTTTCTTATTCCTCTCTCTCTCTGTTCTTTTTCTAGTCATTCAATTGATAATTAATAGGATATAACTTTGAATGTGTTTTGGCCTTGTAGATAGCACCATTTGACATAGAATTCTCCGTTACACACAAAGAACTTGATTTCTCTCATTTGCTGGTAAGTTTCTCTGAGGCTAAATTTCTTTTAACTGACATGCACTGCTTGGTGTTTTCATTTTTGCAAGCTTTTTAGCATCATTCATATTTTACCTTTCTTTTACATGGAATTAAAGCCATGGTTGTTTTAAAATGCCTTTGACAGGAGCACCTGAGACGGATACTTAGAGGTCAGGCCTCATTATTTGACTGGTCCAGATCAACATCATTAGCAAGGACCTTATCTCCCCGTGTTTTGGAAAGTCAAGTAGATGCCAAGAAGGTTAGCATTTTACCTTATAAATATATTTTACAGTAGTGGCATGTGCCATTTTGGGTGCATGTGTTGCTGAAAATATTTTTCAACCAACACATAAATGCTTAGGGCTAGGAGACAAGAAATTGCATAGTTTGTGAAAAGTTATTAAAATAATAATCGAAGTTTTAAATCTCTTGTTTCTAAAGCAAATGATTATTAGCAAATTACCTATGTTCTTGTGAAGTTGTCCTGCGATTACTTTACAAATTACTCCCACTGCCGCCTCCCTATTTTTCCTCTTTTTCCCCCTTTTTGTGGAAACACTTTGTTGCCTTGGGCATTGTTTTAGTTATAATTCACCATGAATTAATGCTATTCTGCATTCAGCAACTGTTGCTTTTGTTGCTCTGATTTTGCTATCTGATAATCTCAAGGCTTGAATACTGGGGTTCTGTTTTGCCATCAATATTATAAGGTATGTTTTGTGTTCATTTACTTGCAGGAACTGGAGAAAAGCTTAAAAGCAGCTTGTGAGGAGTTTATTATGGCAGTCACTAAGCAAGTAGTGGATCCTATGCTTTCATTTGTTACCAAGGTTATCTTTTCTCTCCTTAAATGGTCTTTTCACAACTTAAGATATTAGAATCAGAAAAGAGTAGATATTTCTTGCTAGTGAAATAAGACTAGATCCCTTTGATTGGAATTGTTTGAAAAAGTAATTAACACCAGTTGAAATGTCAGAAATTTCAGCTTGTATTCGAGTATTTACTTACCTTGCTATGTGATATTTAACTGAATACCTTGTATTCATCTTCTTCCCTGAATTAAAGCATAACTTTGATGGTAATGGAATTTTTTCAGCTTTGACTAATGAATAAAAGTATAAGGGTTTAAATTTATTCCTACAGGTAACAGCTGTAAAAGTTGCATTATCTTCTAGTACTCAGAATCAAAAAAGAGACTCAGTTATGGCCAAGCCACTCAAGGAGCAAGCCTTTGCTACACCAGAAAAGGTGGCTGAACTTGTTCAGAAGGTTTGTCACATTTTGATTTCATGTTTTCCCAGGCTATTTGGTGGGTAGAGTTTGCTTTGGTTTTTGAAGATTTTTCTCAGCCTTGCTGGGTTTCCCTACTGCATAATAAAATGCCATTGCTTTTTTATTGGAAACATACATGTATGCATGCATGCATACAAACAAACATTATTTATGTATGTAATGTATGTGCATATCTATATGAACATATAACATATGTATCTCTATGTATCTATAAAGGAAAGCCATGATAGAAATAACTCCCATCTACATGAATGCCAATTGCAACAAGCATGAAGCAACTCCCACTGTGGAGGACTGGTCCAAGACAGAATGGGGGCATGATTAAAATTTTAAGTATAAACAGTAATTTAGGATATCTCTGCCGTAATATAGCATTAATACAATGCCAGTTTATGCTTCAAAATATGGTTCGTCTATATGGTTTTAAGGAGCAATTCTAGCTTGCAATCCCTCCATCGTTGCTGCTCAACCTTCACAATCGTGAGGCCCCTTTATCTAATAGGCTGATATATAGCATGAATGAGTCTACCCTCTTGCAATATCTTTAATTGATGCCAATAATTCTTTTTTTCTTTTGAACTAATTATTTAATACCCTTCAATTAGGAATGATAATAGAAGGCTGATCTTGTCAGATAGATTCATACTACTGTTGCATGCATATGAAATTGTCTATATTTAGAGTGCATCGAGACGCATAATTTCCCTGATTATCTTATTTGAATTAAAATTGCAATTCTTGGTTACAAATCTGTTAATGATTTCAATATTTAGATTCCCCAAATTGATGATTTACATTCTTAAACAGGTACATTCTGCTATTCAGCAAGAACTTCCATTGGTGATAGCCAAGATGAAACTTTATTTACAGAACCCATCAACAAGAACAATTCTTTTCAAACCAATTAAGTAAGATACTGATTCAAATTCAACTGAAACTTTATGGTCGTGTTTCGAGGAAAATGAATGACCTAATCAAAGATTTCCCTGTTCTTTAATGTTTTATAATCGGTCAGAACATGGTAGACAATCTTGAAGCAAATTTTGAATGATTCAGATTCTTTAGCGGCTTATCTCACAACAAAATAAGGTGATTCTTATATTTAATGCAGGACAAATATTGTGGAAGCCCATATCCAAGTCCTATCCGTTTTAAAAGCAGAGTATTCTCCAGAGGAAAAAAACATCATCAACATGGTGAGCATAGAAGAACTGGAAGCACAGCTCGACAATCTCCTGTAGGGAGGTAGCGATGCTCATTCAAATTTTTTTGCTAAACTCAAATTCTGTAATTTTTGGCTAATATATGCTATGGTTTAGTCTGATAGATAGTAGAAAAGTTATGTAAAATGGTTTATTCTTCAGAATATTCATTTGTCACGTCCATATGTATTTTTTTTTCCTTCCCAAGAGCATAAAATTCTGTTTTTATGATCTTGGCAACGATTGTTGATCATATTATCCATTTATAAGTTAATATTTTCATTTCATCAACCTTGGTGGATTCAATTTTTTTAGGAGTGTTCACTTAATATTAAAAAAAAATTATTAACAAATTTATCAACTTTGTTTCCAGAATGTGGGATATTTAGGAGAATTTTATTTTTTTAATTTTATTATTTTTCAATATGTGAAGGTGTTTGTGAACATCTTACCTTTTCACTTGAATCTGCCACTGTTTATCAGCTTACTACATGTCTGATTTGTCTGTAATCTAGAGCTATAATCTAGGACCATTTTGGATTTCACCAGCCTCTTTTGGGGTTGACTGCGGAGTGCGTTTGAATAGCATTTCGTGGTGCAGTTGTCTTCAATTATCTTTCCGTCTATGACTGAAAAGAGAAGGATTTAGTGAATAATTGGATTGTAGGGTACTCGAGCCTACAAGAAGGAAGGAAATTAGAGTGCCAATTTGTTAGCATATGGTATGGTCTCACCGCCGACTGGTTTGAAACTTTTAACCAAGAAGTCGGATGCCAATGTTCTTGTTTCTATATATGGTGAACCTTCGAACTGGCAATCTGAAATGTAGCATAATGGGCCCTCTATATTACCTTTTCTGGGCTCTCGAGTCCAAAAAAGATGATGGAGGCCTATCAAGCTTGGAGAGAGACGGCTATCTTCGGGTAGAAATAGAATGGATGGCTACTGTCGAAGCAAGTAGCAAAGGCGTGCGGAAAGGCTACAGGTGACCGAAGAACATGTTGCATCCATTTAGTTGAAAAAAGACAGCCCGTAGACTTGAAATGTTCAAGGCTACTTACTAAACCAAAACAAAACTTAGAACAGAGGAATAGATCTCGAAGCCTTGGGTCCAGAAATCTCCAAATGCCCACCATTGTGTTTCCTTGTTTGAAATTATTATCAGCATTTTAGTCACGGAAGGAATCTCACCGACAGATATTTATAATGAAATATTCGAGGAAATCGTTTGGATAGTTTTACAAAACATTTGAAAGATGAAAAACGACAGCCGTACGTATTTTTGTTCCACTATTCGATTATGTTCCCGAAGAAAATTTTAAGCTAAACAAAAGCAAGTCAACGGTTTTGCATGGACAGTTCTGCTTGGAAGTTTGCACTTTATACCCTTACAGAGTACAAATTAAGCTTTGAAAACTGGAACCTACAACAAGACACGACTCGAGATCCATGTAGGTCTGACCTGTAAAGTAAAAAGTTTTCTTATCTACATTCATCGTCTTTCACGGCCTTCGTGTAGGTCACTCGGCTAGAGTCTCATTGCCATATTAGAAATAGACTAGAAAGGCGAAGAATGAAGTTGTATTATCTGTCAAAATTTAAATCCCATCATCGTATGGAAATGAGGTAGAATCCAACCAGGCTCCACCAGTAATAAACTCTGAGACAGTAAAATTATAGGCTTCATCATAATCCATTACATGATAGCCAGGCCAAGTAACTCGATGATCCGTTCCTGAACGTGGCCCATAATTATTGTACTCTCCGTAATAAAGCGTGTCTAATCCTTGATCACCGGACCACTTTGTCCATCCCGTAGGATCGATAAAGTCATCAATGTAGGATTCAAGAAAAACTGCTGTAGAGTACAGCCTCCATGGCCTTCCAAGGTAGCTTTTAACGCTCCTTGAGTTGTCATACAGTTCATCTGTCGCAAGAATTGAACAATTCTGTATCGAAATTCCAGTGTACTCATCTGGGCTGTCTCGAGATTGAGCTGTAATTACTGTAAACTGACCCCGCATTGGCATTCTGGAGATTATGTTACATGCCTGGAAGACCACGGCAGCATTCCCAAATATATAATCTACGGTCCCAGATATGTCACATTCACGGTAAAATTGTCGAAAGGAGTGGGCATATAATGTATCCTGGTAACCGTTGATTGTGCACCTGTACAGTGCAGCGAAGTCTGCGTTTACTCTTAATGCAACCGCTTGGCGCTTCTCTGGCCCTGCCCTGTTCTCAATGGTTATATCCCGAGCCAAAAAGCCTTCACCAGATACCGCTGCAACATAAAGTTACAAAAGCAATGAGTTAAATTTAATGATGTGTTATAAATCAAATATTTTAAGCCTGATGATGGATTCCATCTGCAAAACCAAAGTTTCTTTCTTTCTTTTTTTTCCCCGAAAAGCATTAGTGCTATTATAGTACTAATGTATCATAATTTCACCAAGAGCTAGGGGTTTTGAGCATTACCAACAGTTGCAGATCTGAAAGTGGTCCAGCCATCAACCACACTTCTGTTGCCAGTAATGAAAGTGACATCACTTCCATCTCCAAGCAGAACAATATTGGTTTTGTAGCTTGGAATTTCCACATTCTCTTCATAAATCCCTTCTCTAACATAGATCATTATTCTGTCATTGCTATTATTTGGAGCAAAGTTTATAGCATCAGTGATGGTACTGAAATTTCCTGTTCCGTCAGCAGCTACAGTGAGCACTTCACTCGGATCGTATTCATCATCAGTGCTTTGCAAAATCCTGCAAGCTTTTCTTGATAACCAGCTTGGAAATCCCAGTAGTCGACGATTTGAATGGCCTTTTTTGTTAGGACCTGACTTAGGGAGCATTGAAAGAGAGTTACTGACATGCTTGTAAGTATTAATCAAAGATTTCACAAGAATAGGTTTCAATGGACCAGAAGCAGAATCTAGTCCTTCTAAACAAGTATTCTTGTTTGTGAGAGCTGCACTGAGATAGGTTCTTGCATCCGCTAGCTTCCGTGAATCAGCTGCTAGGATTCTTGATACTGACTTTTTCAAGGAAGACAGTGTGATTTGGTGGAGGTCTTTGCAATCTTGCATTATTCCTCTTTGTTTTTCAACAATATTTCCACTTCCACCATTATTGAATAGATTGGTTAGCTTTCCAGCTTCAGATAATGCACTCTGGAGTGTTTGAAGGAGGTAGTTAAGTATGTTGGGACTGATATTTATTGAAATGGAAAGCTTCAATGAATCAAAACAAGCATCTGGGTATGGAGTGGTTTGGCAAAATTTTCGTATGGAAGAGAAATTGGAGTTTAGAGACGTTGTTGAAGTAGTGTTGAGAGCGAAAGTTGAAGAGAAGAAAATGGTGAAGAGGAGGAAAGGCAATTTTGAAAAGGAGGAAGCCATTGAAAGCTGCTGTAGAAGCTGAGAGGATATTCTTTCTTTTATAGGCCTAGTAGATCAGATTTTGAGACCGACACACACGACTAATTGCCTTTTTTTTTTTTTCACAAGAGATCATAATCTCGTGACAGAGAAGAAGCTGCTGTTGTAATTTAAATTTTAAATCTTTTAAGTGTTATATTTAAGTATTTATATAAATTAATTAACATAAATTTTAAATTTTATTGATGGCTTTTAAATAATGTCCTTGGGAACATAAGTTGCATGAATTCTTGTTTGAATTAATATTGTACGAGAATCTGTAACAAGAATACAATTTAATTACACTGAACTAAGATAGTTAGCTACTTGTCCAGTGTCCTGACTCCTGGGGCATTCATGTCTGCTAGCATTTTTTCTTTCTTCTTCCTTCTTTTTCTTTTTTTTTTTTCACAGGAAATTTGAGAGAAAGAGACAAAAGTCTTGGGTATTCCAAATTTGCCAATTTGGATTAAGGGAGAAAGGAGCTGCATCAGCCATCCAGATAGGGAAATTGTTAATCATTTTCTTCACGCGTTTTTTTTTTTTTTTTAATTTTCTTTCGGTTTTGATTGGTTAATTAGAAAACAAGTGGAGAGGATTGTCATGTTGGAGATTATTGGGGCATGAATAAATACAAGATAAGGGTTTTTGTATGGGTAGCCATTTCCTTCTGCAACAAGTGACTAATTCAGTGCATCTTTTTCACTGTAATAAGCCACGTCCAAGAATTGAGAGCCCCTTTTTCTTCTTAAGTTTACAAGATTCAGGCTCAAAATCCCGTGTTCCAAGACTCAAATGAACTCATAACCTCAATTTGGCAAATGTAATCCTGGCTAGTGCAAGAGTTCTTGCCCGACAAATTCCTTAAGAACTTCGAATTCTGGCAGCAAAGGTAGCAACTTGACGCTTGTCTTGTGGCTATTCACGGGATAAAGTCATTTGTAGTATACCCTCCTTGGTTGAGCTTTTGTCCCTCAATATTTAAAAAAGAAAAAAAGTTCACATGCTTATATTTATTCATTACTAGCGAAGGTGAGGGACAAAAGTATAAATAGACAAAGCTATTTAGGAAAAAATTTTCAATTTGATACCTTTATTTTTAAAATGTGTAATTTAATACATGTATTATCATTTTGTTTCAATTAATTATCTGAGTCAACACCGTTAAATGTGTTTGTTGACGTGGCATATGGCATATTTTATCACATAAGCTTGTCATGTTTATAAAAAATTAAAATAAATTTTATGTGGCATCCACATGTAGCACACATGTCAATAACATGATAACCATATGAATGCTACATTTTTTTTAAGTAAAAATTTCCTTTTTAAATAATAAAATAACAATAAAAATTTTCTTTTTTTTCTTTTATTTTCCTTTTCATTTCTCTTTTCTTCCTGTTTTCGGCATACCCCTGCAAATCTGGCCAACAAAGTAAAAAGACAAAAAAAAAAAAAAAGAGAAAAAGAGATCGAGAGAGAAAGGAAAAAAAGCAAAGGAAAAAAATGAAACTTTTTAAAAATATTCTAGTTATTATTTTAAAAGAATATAATTTATTTTTATTTTTCAAAAATATTATTTTTTCAAAATTTTAATTTTTAAGTTTCTAAATAATAAATTGTAAAATATTAAGAAATGATGGAACAAATTTTAAAAGTTTTTCAAAACCATAGATTAATATCAAAATGAATTAAAATAAAATAATTAAAAATTTCACAACGAATAGAATCTTTATCCTTAAATTAAATGAATTTAAATTTGATGCATAATTATATATTATTAATGAATTATATAACGATATATCATAAAAAAATTAATTTTAAAATTTTAAAATCTTAAAAAGCATATATTCTTAACCTTAAAAATATATTTAAAATTAATTTCTTTTATAAAATATCTTTTTTCTGTAATTTACTATTAGTGTATTACGTGAGCTTACATTAAATATAAATCCATATTAAATACATAAATGAAGTTACTATTTTTTGTCTGATAAATGAAGTTACATTAATCGCTTATTTATAGCCCCAATCCGGCTGTGTATTTAACGCCAGTTGACGGCAACCACAAGTTTCCTTCAATGAATTGAGCCACTGTAAAATTATCAGCTTGAGCAGAGTTATTCAACGCATGGTAACCAGGCCACTTAACTCTGCTACCAAGAACAGCCCCTGGCCCAAAATTCATGTACTCTGCATAGTACAAGGTGGCCAAAGCAAAATCTTGATTCCACTCAAGCCACCCTTGAGGCCTTATAGCATTACTGATGTAGGATTGCATGATAATGGTTCTTGAATACAGCTTCCAGGGTCTTCCAAGGTACGTAGGAGTGGAGTTAACAAAAGGTAATAAATCTGTATCAGCGGAGATATTGCAGAATTGAATGGAGAAGCCCGTAGGTTGATTCGGGCACTTGCGACCTTGAGCTGTGATCGTGTTTTTCTGGTTTGGTAGGCCTTGCTTGGCTAGGATTTGGCAGTTCTGGAATACCATAGTGGCATCACCACATATGAAATCCACAGTGCCAGTGACCTTACATTCCCGGAAAAATTGGCGCATTGTGTGAGTATAGAGTGAATCCTGGTAGCCCCTAATAGCACAGCGGAAGAAAACTGACAGGTCTGAGTCGGATCTCAATGCTACTGCTTGGTGTTTCTGAGGCCCTGCTGTGTTCTCAAACGTTATGTCTCTTGCTATGAATCCTCTTCCGCTTACAGCTGCAGATTTTAAGACAATATTCTAAGCACATGAGAATAACAACAACAACAATAACAAGAATAATAATAATAATAAAAATTAGGACAGTAACAAAAATTAACTAGTTATGCACCATAACTCAGGAAAGATTCTTGCTAAAAATCTTAATAGAAAGAAAAACCTAATGGTCCCAAATCGATCAGTTCTCTAAACCTATACACAGTATTTCATATTGTAAGCTTAAGCTCTAATCAAAATCCACCAACTTATAACTTGCATTGCCCCGAAGCTTCTTCACAGTCTCCTCTAGAGGCGGGGGATGCAACAATCGATCTCCTTATTTTGTAAAATTTATTTTTTTCTCACCTCAGTTCTCAGGTAAGTTAGATGGGGAAGAACATTTCATCATATATTATAGTGAAAAACGATAAAATTTTCAGCGAACGACATATCAAAGAACTCATGCAGGGTACACGCTCTGGGCATGTCATATTGAACCACGACAACTCTAGCACTAGAAAAATGTGATAGAACGTAAGTCATTAACAAGGATAATTAATATATATGTACAAACTAATGTTAAATGAAATGAAGCTAGGCTGTCTAGCTGTAGTAAATAATGGGCCCAACCCATGCCTTCAAGGAAGTTGACTTCTTGAACCATGGGGAAAAAGGATCAAACCCTGCATTTAATTTTCATTAGAGATTTTATGATTATGCATTTATGCTCTAAGTGGCGGCCAGCTGGGATACTGACGGCCTTTCTCCCTTTTTTCAAAGAAAAAAGATGACGCTGTGGATCTAAAAAACCTTAACAAATTCAACCACTAAAAAATTCAACCACTAAAACGAAGTCCATTACAAATAATTTAGTATACTACTTACCGAAGGTTGCTGATCGAAATGTGGTCCAACCATCAATGAAGCTTCGATTTCCGGATATTACTGTGACATCCATTCCATCACCAACCATCATAAGGTTCCATTTCTTCTTCTTAATTTCCACATTCTCTTTATATAAACCCTTCTTAACGTAAATAATATATCTGCTCATGCGGTAATCGGGTGCTGCGGACACAGCATCCATTATGCTAGTAAAATTTCCAGTCCCGTCTGCTGTAACCACAACATCAGCTGATACCCCGTTTGCTTGTAACAATTTTCTGTCCTCCCTTTTGAACCATGATGGAAATTGGTTCTTATTTGCAAGTTTCTGGCTAGGATGACCCCCACCAGCGCTACCTCCACCACCTTTTTGGCCACCATTCCTGTTACCTCCATTGGACCTGGAACTGGGACCAGGGCGCACCATGGTGAGAAGATCACTGACCATTGAAGTGACTTGGTTAAGGCTCCCTGCTACCACAGTTTTGGCCATGCTACTTGTACCCTCAAACCCATCAATGCATGTCTCCTGATTAGCCATTGCAGCACTCAGCCATGTCCTCAAATCGGAAGTTAGATCACCAGTACTGTTATTTTTACCTGCAAATTAGTAAATTTCATATAAGAGACTAATTGAAAATTAAACAAGACAGATGTAGTTAGCTACAGTTAACTTACCACCACAAAAGTTGCAGCATGTATTCACATGCATTCTTATAATTTCATGAAAACGCCAAAGGGGGAAAAGTGATTGGGATCATATGCTTCCGTATGTTTTAAACTTTTTCAAGAAAAAAAGTGAGCAGTGGGTAGAAGAAAAGGAAAAGGAAGATTCATATAGGGAGCTAAGACATAGAGTTAAGTACCATTAGGATTCTGGGAAGCAGACAGAGACCAGCTTAACTCTTCAGCAGAAAAGTCCAGCAGATCAAGACAATCAGAAATGGCATTAGTAAGTAGGAAATCACCAAAAAAGTTGCCAAACTGCGAGACGATGGGGGTAACTTTCCTTATAGCATCAATAGTGGTCCTTAGAGAGCCTACAAATTCGGTCACTGGCACATTAAGGCACTCAGCTCCCACAACATCATTGCTACTGGCATAGGACGTGCACAAACAAAGAGCAACCAAGAAGAACTGTGCGGAGAAATTTGGCATGTTTTTGGGAAATAAAGAAGGTGACATTTGCTAAAAGAATGAAGATGTGTACTTGGAAATAAAGAAATTAACAAGATTGGCATGTAGTGAAGAAGAGAGAGCAAGAGGTCTAATGAATTTACGGAGAAAAGAGTGAGGGTGGTAGGCAATAAGGCTACGGGAGTTTTAGGGTTAAATGGGAAGGTGAAGGAATTAAAGACGGACGTCGAGTCGTGGAGATGACCGATGACTTTGAGTGACATAAGGATTCTGTCATTGTTTCAGTGACAGTGTAGTGTAGTCTATTTATCCTTTTGTCGGCGGTGAAAAAATGAGAGCATTTTTTACTATTGTTTAAATATCCGAACGAGGGGCAGCCGAATCACCTTGTCTTGTGCGCCTGTCCATTGCTCATGATTTTTTTTTTTTCGATGAAAATTAGCATTAAATCTTTTGTTTGAGAATAATTTTTTTGAAAATTTTAATTTTAATTTTTTTATATATATAAATTAAAAAATATCACACGCTTAAAGTTATCCAAACTCATAATTTTTAAATATCAATCTTAATATCATACTATCTAATCCAAAATCAATTACAAGGTCAGTTTCTTTTTACCTTCATCATTTTTTTTCCAAATAGTTTTCCAATGAATATTTTTAAATTAAAAGACCCCTTAATTCTAACTGTTTAACTATAATAATTTTGGGACCCATGACATGTCATCTGTCCATGAAGGAAGAGAGGGAGGCTCATTGGAGGCCATGCATATGTTTTTTTTTTTTTTGTAAAAAAAAATTAAAAGTAGATTATTTAGTTTATTATATCAAAATAAGATATATCGTATTTAATAATTTAAAATAAAATAAATCGTGCATTCGATATGACTTCAACAAATAATTATCGATAAAATTTAAACTTAAAATTTTTTTATAAAAAAAAATAATTTTAATCGATTAAATTAATTATTTATTGATATATCATGCATCTGTTCAATACAGCTTACAATAACTTTTTGCTTTTTTCCTTTCAAGGATTAATTATGGAAACCTAATGTTACTCTAAAATTACTATTTCTTCACGCCTCAATTGCAGTACATTCTAGATTATCGTGTTAAAGTTTGTAAGAAAAACCATCGGATTGGAAGACCAATTGGTTTTCCTGTTATTTCATGACATAAAAACCATGTGGTTTTTTTTTTTTTTCTTTCTCAGTAATTTCTCTTAGCTTAACCATAGAAATGGGGAATAAAAGAATTGCAATTCAACAAGCAATTCCAAATAAAAATGCAATGAAACAATTGCAGAAATTTGTTATGGACCTCCGTGCCTAATGCATTCCAATAAATAGAAAAACCTTTAACCTTTCTTAACGACATCTACTTTCCTAAACTATTAAAAACCTCATTAATTGCTTTCCAGAATACGGTTTTAGCCTTTTCATTTGGGATTTATAGAAAAAACCTCTATTAAAAAAAAACCCTAAATCAGTTACCATTAATTAAAAGTATTCATGCACTTGATATTAATAATTTATTTATTTATTTGGATTAAGTCTGATCTAAAATTTTTTAATCTCAAAATTTTTTTAAATCCAACTTAAATTTAAAAAAAAATTTAAATTCACTCATTAAATTTAATTTATATAATAAAAAATTAAAAAATATGATTAAATTAAATTTAATAAGATTATATTTAACTCACATATTTATAAAAATTAAAAATAAAAATTTTTATATATATGTAAATTCGGGTTAGGTCGATTTGAACTTAAGTTTTAAATTTTTTGTCTAAAATACAATCTAAAATTTAAATAAATTTAAAAATTATGCTAAAACTCATTTAAGAGACTTTAATTTTTTGTCTAAATCTTTTCAAAAATTAGGCAAACCTTGGATTCAAACAAAGAACCCAACTCTTAAACAGATCTACCACTAACATAAAAACTTCTCTTCTTTTTTTTTTTCCTTATTTTTCCCCTAATTCAGAGGATAATGCTAGAATGCTTCAATGTAACTTCGACCATAAGATTTATTTGGTACGATCCAAATTGAACAAATCTTATAAAATTGTTTTTAATCGTCCTAGATATTATTATTTTATATAATGAAAGAAAAATCTAAAATACAGAGATGAATATAATTTTTTGAACGTACACAAATTGATAATGGATTTTGCACTGATCATTTTCACTACCCATTAATTTCCACAGTTAAAGAATTATTTTGCAGTCTAACAAACCAAAAAAAATAAAATTTCTAAGAACTCAACGAGACATGAAGTGTGGCATCAATGGCTGGCTTCTTTTCCAAAAGCAGTTAACGCGTTTTACAGGTTGCTACTACTTTTTTTCTTTTTTAAGAAAAAGAAGATATAAAAGCACACGCGGTCTTCTCTGTCTCTTGCGAAAAATCCACCAAATTGTTGGCAACATATCATGTTCTTCGTTATATATTAATAGCATCGCTGCATTATTCATTTTTCATGTTCATCACTTCCCACATACTCTTTCATAGTAATTATTATCTTTGCTTTTAATTCTTTATTATTGATTGAGCAACTTCGGCAACTTTCGAACTTTCATCATTTGCATGGATCCATCATTCTAATCTTTTGGACATTTCATAGAAGAATTTTGGGTTTTGACTCCATAATCCTTTCCCATTTCAGTTCTTCTCTTCTTGGTGTTTCAAGAAGCGTCTAGCAGAAGCATTTGGCCATAGATTGTTGGGGCACCTTGTCTAGCTACCAAGCACACCGACTTGGGGAATTATCAAATTCGCTTTGGTTCATCAAATGTATAAGCCTTTTGTTTGCCTGATTTTTCTAAGGGTCTTTAACATAGACATTGCTATCTCTCATTAATTTGCATGACACAGCAAATCCCACAATAATCAGAGCCTATAACTTTTGACTGCGGAAGGCTTTCAACGTGGTAATAATGATTGGAACAATATGTACTAGTAATTAATTAGGATATGAAAGAAACCAAGTAATTGAATCCGGAATTTAACACTCACTAGTCTTGAAATTAGAAAGGAATTGCCACATATTGCAAGGCTATATGGATGATAAAGCAAAATTGATCGGCTAAAGAAGCTTTATAAGGATATAAAATTTCTAGTTTCGAGTCTAGATCTCCTCTTTCTTTTTTCTTTTTTTTTTTTGTAAGGGCTATGTCCTCTCTTAAACAAAAAAAAAAAGAGCAAATTTAAAGTATATATCCTACATCCACGAAATGGGTTGCTGATTATTTTGCAAACATTAGGTCCAAACACCCAATTGTACAACCGAACGATGATTTTTATTTAATAAAATTCAATTTTTAAATTAATTATTGGTCCAACATGTATGTGATTCCCTTGAAAGATAACAATAACATCATTATCTTTTGAATTAAGAAAAAATGAATGAAATTGAAAAGAAAAACAATATCTTTGTTCTTATCTTAACCTAATTTTATATTTTGGTGTTAAATTGATATGGGAATATATAATTGCTTCAACACCAAAAATACATTTGTAATTTAGAGATGTACTGTGCTATATAGTTAATTAAATGCTAAATGCTGATGTCAGAATTTGGTGTGAGAGGATTATTCTAAAAATTTTCACTATTCTCAAATTTGCAAAAGAGAAAATCTTTTTGTTGATTCATCTAAGCATTTTAAAAAGTAAAATTAAGTAGGTTTAAAATTTAAATTTTAACATTTATAATTATTTTTTATCTCAAATTATGAATTTTTTTTTGTAAAAAAATTTAAAAAGATGATTAATTACTAGAATAATCAAAGAAGCATACAATAATTAAATTACAAGTAAAATAAGTAAGTCCATGTAAAATACAATATTAAATGTTGTTATTGGAGTCAACATCTTATTTTATAGCGTTGGGCCCTTAACTTTCCAAATATATCCTAAAAGGGCATGGTTAAGTGGTGAAAGTACATCAAAGTAGGACAGTGTCATTGTCAAAATTAATGAAAATGACAAGGAGCATTTCCCTAGGGAATTCATCTTTGAATGATTTTTTTCTCATTTTGAGTTTCCTTCTATATTTATTTGATTTGGTTTTGTTGGGTGAGTCGAGGCTTTCAAAATTAATAAGAATCAAGAAGCAACAAAATATACATCTTGCAAAAGTACCCATTAGGCCTAAGTAAGTAGTAACCCATACCCACGAGAGAAAGGTTCATCGTATCATGTGGGACAACCCGATGGACATGGACCCTCCCAATTAAGTTATCTTGGGTCATAGACATTAACTGCCATAGGCCAGACTGAAATGAGCAGAATTTCAACATCAAAAGATTTATACATGGCCCAGACATCCAAAAAATTAAAAAATTAAAAAAAAAGAAGAGAGAAAGAAAATTATCCATTGCCCATCCATTTAAAGCTTATCGTCGAAAGAATTAGTACAACTATATATATATATATATATATTTTTTTTTTTTTTTTTCTCTACTATATTTCAATCACAATTCATGGCTTTATTTTAAACTATGGTGGCAGTGTAGTTTAATATTGCATTTTGTGACTGTATTTCATTTTTATCTAATTTCAATTTTATTGATTTTTTTATAAAAAAGCAATAAAATTTTTCACCAAATATTTTATGAAAGCAAAGTGATAAATTCTTCATCAATTCCGTTTTTTTTTTTTTTATTTAAGAATAAGTAAATAACAAACTTAAAGGTATATGTAATAATAAATTTTAATAAATGTAAGTATAACAATAAAATTCAACATTATTCCATGACAAATTTAACTTCAATCTTTTAAATTTGGATTCGGAATTCAATTCCGCTAGTGGAAGTGGTGCAACTAATCAATCAGAGGCACATGGTTGGTTCCTTGTGTTCCTCGCATCTGGCAGTCGCAGATCAGAAATTGGCTCCCAACAATAGCTGCAACTGCAATGGATTTTTTTTTTTTTTCTTTTTCTATGTAAGAAGGTATTCCCCCAAATTTAAACAGGATATGCGGCTAGAAACCCCATAGCCGTGGAAACCCCCCCTTTATAAGTAGGGACGACTCAGCCAAAGCTCAAGGTCATTTGCAAATGGATTCAAAAATTGAAGATAATCGTCCAAATAATTTTGATTATGGATGATAAATGATAATTGCCCACTAGCTGGCAGCATTTTTCCGGTCACTAAAATCACTAGTAATAATAATAATAAAAAAAAAAGATTATGCTCATGGTTACATTTTAATATGCCATTTTGATTGTGACAATGCTTCCGAACTTGGTTACATTTTAATATGCTCATGGTTCATCGGCAGCCTAACTTGAACATCAGACATAAGTAAGTTACCTGCTACGCTGAATAACGCTTGTTATATGAATATATTCCTCGTATGAGGATGTCTAACTGCAAGTAGGCTTCTTATGTTCTCCTTTTCCATGGGTTCTGGTTGGATATGTCAACTTCTAGCAGCTCATTCGCCGACCCATGCACTTAATTCGATAAAAGATTACTATCTCGATTTCAAGATATCAGAAAGAAAATCTTTGGTTTGCTAATTCTCAAGTCTCAGCCAAATTTAGAAGTGTATGAAGAATTGAATTGCGAGGTTTCGTTACCAATTTCAGTCCAGACTATCAATTGCTAGCTCAGATTTAATCCATTTAGTTTGAGTAGAAGATAGAAATATACTGCCTTGCTGAGGTGCATGGCTACATTCATCTATATCAGATAACTCATTACTAAACTCACGGTCATGGAGCAAGTTCATTCGAATGTCAACAAGAGCAAAGGAAAACTTGGCGATGATACACTTATTCTGAATCACCAGAATCTAAATTTCAGCCATAATTCAAAGACCAAGAGAAAAAGGAAAACCCGTGGCTTTTAACCAACTATCGCCGGCAATAAAATTCCGAGCAGTATAGCTTTGCGCCTCAGCGACGGTGGTAATCACCATGTACCCCTTCCATGTAACCCTGTTTGACGTCCCGGCACCAGATCCATTATTCTGATGCTCCCGATAAGTCAATGTGTCTAGTGCAAAATCTCCTTCCCACTCGAACCAACCAGCTGGATGAATGATTTCACTTATAACAGATTGCATGATAACAGTCCTCGAATATTGCTTCCATGGTCTCCCTAGATAAGTAGAAAAACTGTTCTTAACGGCTTGTAAATCTGAGGTTGCACCAATCCTGCATTTCTGGATAACAATTCCAGTGTTCTGGTTAGGGTCATCGCGACCTTGTGCCGTGACCATGTTCCTTTGGCCTGGATTAGGTCGACGAGCATGAACGTCACAGTTTTGGAACACTGCTGCTGCATTTCCAAATATGAAGTCCACAGTGCCTGCTATAAGGCATTCTATATAGAATTGGCGAAGGCTGTGCACATAGAGAGTGTCCTGGTATGCTAACATGTCACACCTGTAGAATGCTGATAAGTCTGATCCCACACGCAGCGCCACTGCTTGGTGCTTTGATGGTCCAGCTGTGTTCTGAAATGTTATGTCCCTGGCCAGGAACCCGTCCCCTACCGCAGCTGCAATAACGGAGATCTAGAAATTGTTAAATTTTCCAAATCTATAAAGAAAGGCTTTAGATAGGCAAATGAGGACATCCCTTTTGGGTTTGAATTGCTACTCCCTCCAGAATAGTCCCAAATTAATTCAAATCCCTACAAAATTCTAGCTGTTATGTACCTACCTGCTTACGATGGCCTATCCGGTTATCCAGATTCCAGTCGACATACGTTACGTCATTCTGGAACTTGAGAATTGAATTTCTAACATCAAACCAGCTGGATACGGTGAAGGGAGCCACATCGGCTTAAAAATTTGTTGGCGTCAAGGCCTTTTCCGTTGGTAGGACGATAGATCTAAATCAGATCCCAATTTAATTAAGCTTTCGTTATTTCAGGGACCAAGGCTCTTCGGGTTATGAGCGCTCCCATTTACATTTCTAAGATTTGGTTTCAGACATTAAATTTCCACTCAACTACGTTTTGGTTGACTCATAAAAAATACTATATACTATTCATTTAGGAAAGGATCTTTTCAAAATTCATTTTCACAATACTTTCAGTAGTTTCTATACGCTCCTGTATAACTCTTGAAAAATGAAAACCTAAAAAAGTTTCTATGATGACCTGAAGTCTTCGCCTAGCCTATATGAAAAGTAACATCAAATACACCATTTTCCACGATCTGGGCCCCCGCCCCGGGGGTCCTTTGAAGGAAAAATACAAAAGACCACAGCTGTACACAAAATCTAAGGATATATTACGAATAAAATTAAATTAAATAATATTTTTTATTATATTTAATATGCCAAGAATTAAAATAAAATAATTTATTTATTAATTAAAATTATTTTTTTAAAATTTATATAATTTAAATTATTAATATAATTTTTAAAAATATAATAAAATATATATTTAATTTAACAAATTAAAAATAATTCGAAAAGATTAAATTATTTTATATTAAAAAAATAATTAATTTTTTTATAATCTTATTTTTATAAAAATATAAAATAATTCTTATCTAATCTTATTCAATCTATCCTCTTATATATAAAAATTTGCCTAAATTCTTGTAACTTAGTTTTGGTACTCCTAAATAATTCGCATTAAAAATTAATCTCAAAACAAAGTTAAAATTAAATGCCATGTTCAATTTCATCATCATTCAAAATTTCAAAATCACTACTCACCAACAGTGGCAGAGTTGAAGGTGGTGCTGCCATCAACAACATTTCTGCTAGCGGTGATGATGGTATTGACTCTCCCATCTCCGACAAACATAAGATTGGTTTTCCGCCTTGGAACATCCACGTTTTCCCTATACACTCCAGCTTTAATCTTTATAATGTATCTCCTGGTGCTTCTCTCCGGTGCAGCCGCCACCGCCTCAGACACCGTGCGGAAGTCACCGCTGCCATCAGCAGCCACGGTAACGTCAGGAGTAACTGTTGTCGCCTGTAGCAGTCTCCTGTCTCCAGCAGACAACCATTCAGGCCATTCTGTTTCGTCTTGCTCCTCAAGTTGCCTCCCTGACGGGTAACCCTGCCTTGTCATGTCGGTGTCTGTCAAGTTCTTGATCATTGCCAGTGCATTGCTACACATATGGAACACATGCATTTGCCCGTCTATTAACGCTTCCCTCACCTTTTTAAATGAGGGCAATGCAGTCATTAATTAGTTAGTCAAAATGGTAATTGAGAAGCACAAACATTAACTTGTAAGATATGTCTGGAACCTTTTTATCTGCATCGTCGTGAGAAAATCCATCAATGCAAGTATCTTGGTTGGTCATTGCAGCACTAAGAAGGCTCTTGAGTTCATCAGCATGTTGAGAAATGGACTTGTTGAAATTGGGATAGTCACTGAGATCTTGTTCAGCCTTGTAAAGCTCGTCCAGAGTTTCATCGACCAGTTCTAGACAGTCATTAAGGGCAACCTTTTCGCGTTTTGTTAGGCCTTTCCTGGTGCTGATGAGCTTCTTGATGGATAAATAGTTACCCTGGACAGCAGTTACTGTCAAGTTCAATGACATCTCTATTACATCCTTGGGGTTCTTGATCTTGGTCCCAGCATCTGGGGCTGCAGAGATTGTTGAGAGGCATAACTCTGGGTACAATGTGGAGCTACAGGAAGTTTTGATGATGGAGTGAGCTGCATTATTGTTGTTGTCGTCGCTAGATTTCTTTTTGGAAACAGATACGGTGGCAGCGATGCTAACTATAGCAGTGACTAGAAGGATAGACGCAAAGAAAGCCAAGAAAAGTTTTTTCTTGCCCTCGGATGTGACAAACCCTGCACCACCGGTGATAGACATTTCAAGGCACTGACTTGACTATGGGGGGGGGTGGGGTGTTTGGAGAGAAGAAAGGGTTATTAAAGCCAAGAAAGGGTGGGGAAAAGACTTGTCAATTCGTCACGTTGCTAGTTACTATAGAGTAGTAACATATTAAAAGATGTGTCGACCCGATTTATGGTTACATCAGATACCCCACTCTGCAACAGTGGCATAGGACACAGGAGGTTGTTTTATTTTGTTTGTCTTGTTTTGCAACGGTAACCGACGTTAGAGCATATGCTAAACATACTTAGAAAATGTCAAAATGATTTTTCATTCTAAGAAATGGGGAAACTTTTTGATCATTTCATTTATTTCTAACTTTTAGCACTAATTTTTTTTTTATAAAATAACAAGGGATATTTTTAAAATTTTCTGAGTTTTTTTTTTTTGTACAATCTTATGAATGTATTTCTCAACATCAGCCTAATTAATTGAGGATTTTATTTTTAAAATACTTTTCATAAAGATTGAATTCAAGGTAACGAAAAAAATTTTGGAATACAAAAATACCATTTGATCTTCGTAAAAAGTATTAGTCAATTATAAATAATCTTATAATTTGAAAAATAAAAATTTTGGGATTTAAAAATTTTTTTCTTTCCATTATTTCATTTATTACTGATCAATTTAAAGTTTTTTATAATTATTTTGATATTAATAATGCTTATGATTAACGTTAAAAAATTTACATATCTGTGCAATTGAAATTTGAAAATAAAGAATTTTTATTATATTTGATTAATTTAAGGCATATATCGCATTGATGTAAATGGATTAGGAATTAGTTGGTGGTTAGCGAATCAGCCATAGCCAGCCTGGTTCAGTCCTTAAATTACCCATCCGTACGTGTAAATGGCCAATTGCCAATTGTCGGCGCCTTTTACTGACCTGCTAGTCGATGGAAATTTTTTTCGTTTTGTGGATTTGCCCAAAGATGTTTTTGGATTTTTAATTAATGTTATTTGTAAAAAAAAAATTTTGTTTGAATATAAAACAGACTTTGTTTTTGAAAAAAAAAAAAAAACATAAGAGAGATTTAGACTTTAGTATTGATGCTACTATTGAAAAAAGTTTGGGTTAAAAATTTTATTTAAAAATGATAAAAAAATAATTTTAAAATTTTAAAAATTTAATATTATTGTAAAAATTAGTATGATGAATTAAAAGATCTAAAAAATATATATACATAAAATAATAAAAATTTAGAGATATGAAAATAACAAATTTATTTTATCAAAAACATTGTGATTAATCGCAAAAGTACTTTTTAAGATTGTTTTAGGTTGAATTTGTAAATTAGATTTTTAAATTGAAAATTTATATTTTTTGTTATTTAATATTTTTATAGTAATAATAATTTTTGTTATTTATTGAATTTGCAATTTTTTTTGTTATTTAATATTGAAATTGAAAAAAAAAACAACTTTTTAAGTAAAAATCACATTCAAAATTAATGCTAGCCTTTACAAATTGTTGTAAAAAAAAATGTTTTCCCCATTTTGTAAATAAAAACTAAAAAATTTTAATCTATGTTCTCTTAAATTTAAGTTGAGATCACGTATCTAATTAGAATTATCTTAATTCTCCATTAAAAGAAATTCTTGGGACGTGAACATTAATTATCCAACATTTAGCAACAAAAACAAAAAGAGTGTATGGAAGTAGGGTTGGTATCGGATCGAGTTTGGGATAGGTTTTGTTTGTCTCGAATTCGATTTGATTTAATACTTTATTAAACTTGAGTCCGATTCTATTCGAAAATTTTTTTGATTTTTCATACCTAATCCGACTCCGATATTATGTAAATCGTATCCGATCCAATCCGAAATTAATAAAATATTATATTTTAAAATATAAAATATTATTTTTTAAATATAAATATTTAAAAATTATCATTATATAAATATATAAATATAATAAATAATTAAATAATTAATTAAAAATAATTTTTTATATAATATCGGATCGAATCAAATTTTAGATAAATTCAATCCCGATCGACTTCGAATATTTTTTTATTTTATCCGATTCAATCCACCCCGAAACTCAAATTTCAAAAAAAAAAATTTAGCCCGTGAAATCGATCAGTCGAAACCCGTCGGGGCAGGTTAGCTCGTCATCCTATATGGAAGTGCTATTATTTTCGTTTTTGATCCTTATGAATCAACGTGTTTTACAATAGATATTTTCATAGTCGTACTCCTTTTTCTTTTTCTTTTTTTTGGAAGGGGGGGGGGGGGGTTCACGGCGAACGGATGCCGGCCCTTTAATTGGTACTTTGAAAGAACGTGTCCTTCCTGGGTCAATAGATCGTAGGCCCACCTCTAGTTGGACCACCCCACATTGATTAAGTTCTGAAATATTGACAATCTGGAATTAATGCAATCAATTGGAATGACAAAAAAAAAATCGAATTTTATTTTGAAATTTTCGATTTTATTTTAGATAAATTTTTTTATTCGATTTGAATATTAAATATATATATTAAATTTAAATTAAAAAGTAAAAAAGTAAAAAATTATATATTTTATTAATTTTTATGTATATTTTAAATTTTTATAAAGTAAAAATAATTATTTTATATTTAAATTTGTTTAAATATATTAAAATTAATATTATAACAATATGTAAAATTAAAAAAAATTAAAAATTAATGAACTGAGTTGAACTGCTAAATTAATTTAAATTGAATCGATTTTTTTAAAAAAAATAATTTAAATAAAATTTTAAAAATTTATAATATTATACATTATTAAAAATAAAAAATAAAATCTAATTCGAACTATTATCATTTCTACAATCAATTATCAATAAAAGTCTTTTTAAATTGATATTCTATCATCTTTTGATTCAAAACCTTTTAACGATTACTATTTAATTATTAATTTTGATCTATCCATACAATTTTATTAAGGAGTCGAGGGTTGAAAAAGTGTTCCAATCCAAGATTACAGATCAAAAATCACTTTGAATTTCTTATATTTTCTTCTTCTTTAGCCAGTAGCCTTTTTCACCCCACACAATGATACAATTTCTAATTTTTGTCTTTACCTATGTCTATCATTAACTTAGGACAAAGCAACATGAAATTGCACAAAAATGCTGTCTATTCAAACACTTCACGTGATCCATCTCCAACTCTCCATGAGCACTTGAGTATACAAGTGTTTTCATGTTCTTTGGCGAGGGTTTTTATTCCTTCACTCGGCCACTCAGCTAAAAGCCGAAATTTATGGCTACGGTCTCATGGCCAGACTCTTAAGAAAATTTGTCTAGCCGAGTTAAGCGTCGTATTGTAAATCCAAGCCCACCAAAAGTATTTTATATAATATGCATTAAAAATTTGTCAAATCATTAAATTTAAAATATTATTATGTGTAAAAAGATTTTATACTTACCATATTATATGTAAATTATAATAAATTATTAAGGTGTAGATAATTATTTTTTGCTTAATTTAAAAAAAAATTATTTCACATTTAATAAATATTTAATTTTTCATAATTTTATATTTAAATTGAGTTACTTCACTTACTGTCAATTGATTTTGAATTAATACTTAATATAATATCAAAATCAATATTTTTTTTTATTGTCATTTTTAAATCTGTCATATGGTAAATTTTTTATATTTTCGAAATTCCATATCAACATATTCAGTATCAAAATTGTTACATCTTAGTTAGGTGTGAGCTTTTCAAAAACCAAATAAGTAATGTTAGTAATCATGCTTAATTAAAATAAGCAGTATAAAATTATGTGATATTCCTTCCGTCTTTTTTTTTTTGTTTTATTTTTAATATTATGCCTTTTTTAAAATATTTAAAACTTTTATTTTTTTTATTCTCTGTAAAAATTTATAATACCAAAAAAATTTGAGACAAAAAAACATTGAAAATAAAGGTACTGAAAGTTTGGTAAGAGTACTATGAAAACTTAATTTAGAATTAAACCAATTTATTATAAATTTCATCCCTGCCATGAACATTATTTTAAAGAAAAATTACTAGAGCCTACACAGAAGCCACTGACTATATGTCATTTCTAAGCCCATCCCATCGAATTAAATCTAAAATTGAAGTTTTTTTTTTTTTTTTTAAATATATTCCAACAAAGAAATATGGGTGTTATTAGAGATGTAAATGATACATTAGTACTCATAAGTTACTTGGATTTGATTCAAAAAGAATTTGAATTCAGTTCGATTATTATCGAGTTGAGCTCAAGTTCGAGTAGTTCGACTTATCGATCGAGCTAAATTTGAGTATTCTTATATCTAATTTGAGTAATTAACGAGCTTAATCGAATTTTTATATTTAAATATATTTTTATTATTTTAATTAATAAAATATTTCGAGTCCGAGTTCGAGTATAAATAATCGAACTCTTGTCGAATATATGAATCGAACTTATTTTTACATATTAATTGAGCTTAATAGAGCGAGTTCGACTAACTCGAATTCGATCACAAATCGAGCTCGAGCTTAAAAAATAAAATTCAATCGAGTTCGAGCCGAGTATCGAATCTCGAATTATGAGTTGAGTTCGAACTCGAGCTTCTCACTGTATCGACTCCACTCGATTCGATTACACCCTTAGGTGCCACACCCCCATTACATAATTCTATTTTTAATTTAATGTAAAAACATTTAATTTTTAATTATAAAACGTGAAAATTTTAAATTCAACTTTTACCCCGAGCTATGCCAAAAAGCAAAATCCTCTTTTGAATCTGTATTAGGTCTCCAACGGCTCTTTCCCCAGAAAAACCTCTCATCCATTATTGATTTATCTTCACTCTCTGCAATTCCTCTTTCATTTTAACAAATATGAGTTTCAGAAAAGAAATCACGACAGCAACTAAGATGTTTACTTTTAAAACTTCCTATGAAACATTAAGGAAGTTGAATTTGCTAATTTTAATCATGGAATATGTTGAAATAATCGAAGGTTTTCTTATTATGTATATTAGAAGAGACTGAATGAAGTATCAAAGGAATCAGAGACAAATGCAATTCCAAAACTATCAATCTTGTTTTTTCGGATTTTTTACCAGCATTAAAAAATAGATGATTTCCATGAAAAATGGAGTGAAAGCCATTAAAAAAATGTTGGATGAGATGATGACAAAAAAATAAAAAATAAAAGCATAATCAGATAAGAGCAAGAAAATTGTTTTACTTTTTTTTTTAATTATATTCTTTTGTTTTAGCTGTAGCGTGTATTTTGGGTTTTTTATTAGTAATTTTAGATATTATGGTTTATACATTATCTATTAAGGTCTCTATTTATAGTGCTATTACTTATTATTTCTAACTTTGTAATTTTAGATATTATGGTTTTTTATTAGTACTATTACTAATTATTCATACTATAAATAAATGTCTTTGTAAATAAAAATAATTAAAGATTTAAGCATAGTGCATATCCTTAATTAATATTGTCGAAAATAAAATAATCTTATATCTTTAATAATTAAAGATTACAGTAGGAATTATAAGAAATGATTTATTTTTTCTTTTATTGAAATTAGTATGATGCTCGTATTTCGTTACAAGTTTTTTTTTTTTTTTATTTAGCATAATTGCAAATTTTAAATATATAAAACTTTTATTTAATTAAAAAAATAATATATTAAGAAATAAATAATCAGAACAAAGTCAATCTAAAAATTTATTTATTAAAAAAATATAATACATAAAATTTATTGAATTGATTATACTTTATAAACTGTTCGTATCATATTTTTATAAGAATAATTTCATGAATCATAGTTAGACAAAGATAGTTATTAAGTAAACATGTATATATATTATCAAGATGATAAAGCTATGTCCTTTACAAAACAAAATATTGATTTATAATTTTTTATGTTACAAAATTTTTATTATATAAGAGATGCATGTTTAATTTTTTTCGGGACCTGACACTGGCTAAAGTGATTTCATCATACATGAAACCCTGCAGTTCCATCATTTGTTAAGTATCCATAGCTTTATCAAGCTGTAATGTTCTCATAACCTCAGACCATTGCTGTCTACGAAACTACATCCCTCAATTCCAATCTATCAAAAACTTTCTCTACTGTTTCCCAACAGCTAAGACTTGAGTACATTTGAATCAAAGAATTACAAACTGAAATATCATTTGATATCCCTGTTACAATCAAATACCCATGAATTTCTCTGCCTTAGCTCTCATCACCAAGACTCTCACATGCAAAGATCACACTCGTCATAGTCATTAAATCTGGATCACAAGGACCATTGCCCTCGCCAAATCGCCACAGTTTACGTACATAGTTACCAAGGCATTAAAGACGTCAACACCAGTCTCAAACCCGAATCTAATAACATGAACTTGAACCTCTGTACCTCCTTCCAAATTCGGAACAACACCATAGGTTCTCAAAACACAAGGGAAAGTATAAACATCAGGCTATAAAAAAAAAAAAAAGAAACTCACAATATCCTATGATACAAACACAAAACTTCATAAAAAAAATCCTTTTTTTACATATCCACTGATCAAAACATTCCAAGAAAAAATCTCTTTCTTTCATTTTACCAAACACATACCAAGCATCACCTAATTTCTCAAACCTCAGAATATACTCAACAAAGCATTTCCAAGCCTAAGACTCAAAGGGTTACTCGAATTCAATATAAAATAGTAAGCTTTATACCTTTTTTCGAAAGCTCTCTTCCATTCACAGAGTCTCACCATAGCAATAGCTACATCCTCATCTAATTGATTCTGCAATTTTTGCATTGAGTTTAGGTAGTTTAGACCTTGTTGGAGGTAACCATTGAGACAAAGAAAATGGAGATGGGAATTTGGGTTGTGGCTATTGAAGGAACTTGTGTTAAGGACTGAGAGTTATTGGTGGGGTTGTGTTGAAGAGATTTGGTAGGTTTTGAGTTAGTTTAAGAAACACAGAGATCGCAGTTTTAGTCACCTTTTGGATTTCATCACTTCTTCGGTGCAGTGTGATTAAACTCATTGCATATCAATTAAATCCAAATATTAATTTCAATGAGGTCAAATCAACATAATTTTTTTATTAAAAATTATTTTTAATTGTAACTATAATAATTTTTTTAATCGCAGTTACAGTAATTTTTATTATTATTTTCAATCTCATCGTAATCAATTTCACAGCTCATCCAAATGTAAGCTTAGGTTTTAGTGTGAAAAAGGCTTGGGTGGTCAAGGTTGACAAGGGTTCATGGAGTTTTATAAAAAAAAAAAAACCATTGTTAAAACTACAGAGCATTGTTGAAATGCTGGTTTTCTAGAGGATTTTTAAAAAGGTTTAGCTTATTCGTTTCAAAATTTATATTGAAAATAAAGTGAGAACTTTGACATCGGAGTGTCTACACATCATACAACTTGGGTTGAGACTAAGGCAAACTTATTCAAAAATAAGATGAGTCTATCTTTGGTCCAAATCTACTAAATAAATACATAAATAAGGTAGGCTAGAATAGAGAGATTGTATTCACATTAGCTGTAAAAGAAGAGCATGAATATGAATGGGATTGTAGTCAGATTCATGTAATCTACAGGAATAAATGGGTGGATTATGTTCACATGTAAATCTCATGATTTTAGGCACGATTCTAGCAATGTAATCTGAAAGTTTTTATGCTTTGAGGGATGTTCCTAGCTTATATATTTTATATTATTCTTTTGTAGAAAGCAGAATAGAGTTTTCTTTATCCTTAAGTAATCTTTTAGATTATTTTTCAAGTTCTATATCTCTTAAGTGGATTTTCTAGAGTGGTGAACTTCATTGTTCTATATCCTTAAATAGATTTCTTAGGGTGATGTTTCTGTATCCTTTAGTTTCTAATCTTGGTGGTGAACTTTTATCCATTTTAATCCAATAATCATATTCTATCATTATTCAAATTCTTGTGAGTTATCTTTTTTGTGAGTTTTTCTATTTATAGTTAATCTCTATATCTCAAACATAAATTTTCACTATCAAATTGGTATCAGAGCTATAACAGGTCATCGTTGTCAAGAATCAGTAGAAGAGGTTAAAGCTAACACTGATGGTACAAAAACTACTAATGTTGACCTAATGGATGCCCTCATAGAAGAGATGCGATAATAGATTTTTTAACTACAACATTAGTTGCATTTACAAAAAGAGACAGAGGAGATAAAGAGGCAACGAATGAAGAATGAAGGTGAAAGAGAAACCAATCCATATCGTGGAAATAACAATGATTCAGATAATAGCACCCTATCTCACCCATGGTAAGTCAGAGACTATCTATACAAAAATTAACTTCAACCTAGTATATTCAATCTGAAAATAGAGATCCTTGAATTCAAAAGAAAGATGTAACCTAAAGAATTCTTAGATTGGCTACACATGGTGGAACACAAATTTGAATACCGTGATACCCCTAAAAATCACAAGGTGAAGCTAGTGGCCATCAAATTTAGAAAGCCTAAATTCTTTAGGTGAAAAATTTTGAAAAAGCAAATGAAAAGATAAGGTAGGAGAAAAATTATAACTTGAAAGAAGATAAAAAAAAGAGTTGAAGAGAAAGTATCTCCCAGACAACTTTTGACAAGATGTCTTTCTTAAGATCCATAACTTGAAGCAAAAAGATCTCTCAGTTGAGGAGTATACAATTAAGTTTGACCACCTCATGTTAAAATACAAATTGATGAAATAAAAAAAGCATACTATTACTCGATATTTTAGAGGATTAAAGATTGAGATAGTTAATGTGGTGCAACTACAACCCTATTTGACTTTCAATGATATATGCAAACTTGCTCTTATGGTGGATAGACAATAAAAAAAGGCCTGTGGTAGCAACTTAAAATTTGAGTCTCGAAAAGGCTATATTAATAAAGGTTGCTCATCCAAAAATGGTATTCCTTTTAAGCCCATTCTAAAGCAACCCCAAAAGAAAAATGAAACCTCAACAAACAAGCCTTAATCTAGTGCACAAACCAGAAGATGTTTTAAGTGTCAAGGGCTTGGACACATTACCTTAAAATGCCAAAATAGAAAGATTATGACTCTAGTAGAGGAAGATTTTGAAAAAAATAAAGAAGAGCTGACTGAAAAAGATCAAAACCTTGAAAAGAATAAAGAGATAACCTATGACTATTATGGAGTATCCTTAGTCATAAAATACAACTTGAGTACTACATCTGCTAAGAAAGAAGACTGGTTACAAAAAACGTGTTTTACACTTGGTGTATTGTTCATAAGAAGGTATATATGTTATAATTGATAGTGAAAATTTTGAAAACATTGTTTCTACCTTTATGGTATAGAAATTAGGTCTCAAGGCAGTCGATCATCCCTAACCATATAAGCTATTATAGCTACTAAAAAAGAATGAAATTAAGATTAGCAATAGGTGTTTGATTTTTTTTTTATAAAAAAGTAATAAAAAGATGAAGTGTGATGTGATGTAGCTCCTATGGATGCTTGTCATTTATTACTTAAAAGATCTTGACATTATGATATAAGGGTTATTTATGATGGTTACCGTAATACTTACACATTTGTAAAGGATGGATGCAAAATCATCCTAGGCCTACCAAGCCCATGGTGATATCAAAACCAATCAAAGAGAAAAGAAGTAATTACCAAGACCAAATATAAAAAAAAAAATTAAGATAGGTGATATTATGTATGCACTGGTATTGATTGAGAAGAATAAAGATAGTGAAGAGCCCATTGCAATGATATAACCATTATTGGTAGAATTTTAAAATGTTATTCAAGAAGAGTTACCAACTGATTTATCACAAATGAGAGACATTTAATACTACATAAACCTTATCTCAAAAGCTGTTTTACCCAACAAAGTAGCTTATAGGATGAGTTCTAAAGAGTACATGGAGTTGCAATGTTAAGTTGATGAATTAGTGAGAAAAGAATAGTGTGTAAAAGCATAAGCCCTTGTGCAATCCCAGCCCTTCTAGTGCCTAAGAATGATGGATCATGGCGTATGTGTATGGATAGTAGGGCAGTCAATAAAATCATAGTTAACTATCACTTTCCTAATCTATTCTTAGATGACTTGTTGGACCAACTATATAAAGCTATTATTTTTTCTAAGATAGACCTATGTAGTGGTTATTATCAAATTAGAATAAAGCTTGGAGATGAGTGAAAAATAGCCTTCAAAATAAGAGATAGTCTTTATGAATATATGGTAATACCTTTTGGTTTATCCAATGCTCATAGTACTTTCATAAGATTTATGAATCATATCCTTAAACTGTGTATTGGCAGATATGGAGTGGTATATTTTGATGATATTATGGTGTATAGCAAAGATGAGGTCTAACACTTGAATCATTTATACCAATTTTTTGCATCTTGAAGGAACAAAAGTTTTATGCTAACCTTAAAAAGTATAGTTTTTTTACTTCAATTTTGTGTTTCTAGGGTTGATAGTGTTAAAAGAGGGAATAAAGATGGATTTCAAGAAGGTTGAGGTAATTTTAAATTGGCCAACACCAACATCTCTGCATGATATTCGAAGCTTTCATGGCCTTGCATCTTTTCATAGGCATTTCATTAGGAGCTTTAGCTTCATTATGGTTTCCATTACTGAATGCTTGAAGAACGAAGCTTTTAAATGGACCAAAGAAGCCCAACACAGCTTTGAGCTCATCAAAACCAAGATCACTGAAGCTTTCATCTTGTCCCTACCAGACTTTGATCAAGTGTTTAAGATGAAATGTAATGTATCCAATTTTAGAATAGGTGTTATTTTAAGTCAAAGAGAAAAACCTATAGCATTTTTCAATGAGAAGTTCAATGAATCCAATAAGAAGTATTCAACTTATGACAAAGAGTTCTATGCCATATATAGAGCATTATTCCATTGGAGTCAGTATCTTCTCCCTAAGCTATTTGTTCTATATTTAAACCGTGAAACCTTTAAGTTTATCAATAACCAGCATAAGTTCAACCGAAGATATACAACTTGGGTAAAGTTTTTTCAAGCTTACAAATTCATTATCAAACATAAATTAGAAACTTAAGATGTAGTAGTATATGTTTTGAGTTGAAAGCACTCTTTATTTGAGATTATGGCTATTAAAATTATTAGATTTGATATGATCAAAGGGCTTTATAAGATAAATCCTTACTTTGGTCGAATTTGAAAAGAATGTGAAAAAAGATCACACAACCAGTTTTTATTGCATGATGGATATATCTTCAAGGCTAATAGCCTTTGCATTCCCTCATGTTCCTTAAGACAGGCCTTAATCAATGGGGCTCATGATGGTGCACTAAGTGAACACTTTTGAAGGGACAAAACACTTACTTTTTTATAAGATAAGTTTTATTAAACGAAAATGAAAAGAGATGTGATGAAACACTTTAAACGATGTAAAGTGTGTCATATTACCAAGAGTTATGGTCAAAACACTGGATGTATACTTCATTGACCATGCCTAATGCTCTTTGAGATGATGTTAGTTTGAACTTTGTAGTTGAATTGCCTAAAACTCAAAGAAATAAAAACTTCATCATGGTGGTTATAGATCATTTTTCTAAGAGGGCCCATTTTGTTCTTTATACCAAAATTATAGATGCTTATTATGTTTCTGATTTATATTTCAAAAAAATTATGAAGTTACATAAAGTTTTTAGATCCATGGTATCTGATCGAGATTCTAAATTTTTTAGTCATTTTTAGCACACTTTTTAGAGGAAGCTTAGTACCAATATCAAGTATAGTTCATCTCATCATCTTCAAATAGATGATCAAACAAAAGTAACCAATCGCAGCTTGAGTAACCTTCTAAAAAGTTATGTGAAAAAGTATATCAAGCAGTGGGATGTTGTTTTACCTCAAGTAGAGTTTACCTACAATCGCTCATCAAGCTAAACCATTAGTTATAGCCATTTTGAGATAGTGTATAGTAAGAATCCAATAAGCCTTTTAGATTTAATTTTTCTCTCTAGTAATCAATA